TGATATTCTTCTTGTTGATAAGACTAGAGAGGGAGTTGAATGTAAATTTTAATTATGGAGGTCAACCTTAGAGTCTAAAGGTTTTCGTTCGAGTAGATCTAAAACTAAATATATGGAGTGTAATTTTAGTAGTAATAAACCTAGTGATGGGATTGTGACTTTGGGCGATTAAGTCATTAATAAGAGTACACGTTTTAAATATCTTTGATCTATTGTTCAGAGTGATGGTCAAATAGATGGGCATATTATTAGCAGAATTCAAGTTGGATGGTTGAAGTGGAGGAATGCATCGGGCTTGTTATGTGATAGAAAAGTCCCCCTCAAACTTAAGGGAAAATTTTATAAGATGGTGGTGAGACCTGCAATGCTTTATGGTGTTGAATGTTGGTCATTAAAAGAGAAGCATATTACTAAGTTAAGTGTTGCAAAGATGAGGATGCTCAAGTGAATGAATGGCTTTACCCTTAGAGATAGGATACGAAATGAGCATATACGTGAAAAGGTTAGAGTAGCTCTAGTCGCCTTAGATGGTTTGGTCAAATAAAACGGCAGCCTTCCAATGACCCGGTTAGGAAAGTAGAGGTATTAGATTTGACTTATGTTAAGAAAGGTAGAGGTAGACCTTTAGAAAATATTAGAAATGATCTTTCTTTATTAGATTTAAACAAGAATTTGACTTTTAATATGACACAATGGAAAAAAAAAGGATTCATGTAGCTAACCCCACGTAGTTGGATAAAGATTTGATGTTGTTGTTGTTGTTGTTCTATTTTTGAAACTGTGAACATAAACAATAGTATTTCTTTTTTTTTAATTAAATTTCATTACATAAATCATATTGCTATAGATTTGTCCTTTTATGTGTGAATTTCTTTCCATGAAATATAAAACCGCTTAACTTGGCCTACACTTCTAAAATTTGTCAAGCAAATTAAAGCTAAATATCTTTTATGTCACATTTTATTAGTTCAGACCTTAGGTGCAACACCATATCCCCCATACTTTCAAACAATATACAGTCTATTCATAATTGCATTTATGTTGGGGAAAAAAACTATTATGTACTTTGATGTCCCGTCCTTTTCATCTATTTAAACTATTTGGAACTTTAGCCCTAAATGTAGATAACTACTTTACAACGAAGGAATCAAAGTGAAGTTACAATAAGACCATTCGCAATGACGTGCAAGAAAAGTTAAAGAATAGGGCTTCAGCAAAAGCATACAATTGCAGTCATTAACAAGAATAATTTAATGGAGGAAAAACAATTTATAGAAAAAAAAACATTTATAGAAACAAAACATGCTTTAAGGAGTAACAGATTAGTTGGTATCATAAAACCTTGTAAGTACCTTCGATCTCTCTCAGCAAGTGCATGCTCTAAGAGTACATTGTAAGCCATATCAACAGTTGCGGGGTTAGCTAGAAAATCCTGCCAAATAATAAAGTATATCATGGGATATAATCATCTAGCATTCATATTAAATACTTCTAAAAAACAGAATGAGAACTCATCTATCAGGAATTGGTATTTAAGATGTGTGCATGCTAGCACCTAAAGACAGAGATGACTGCATAGATGGCTTCACTGAGAAGTGTTTGGTTTTTAAATTATGGTGGTCATTAAAATGTAGTCAAGAAGTCCTAAACAAAAAAATAATCTGAGCATTTCAGAGGTGCAGCAATTTAAAATCATCTGTGTGATGAATAATCTATTGCATGAGTTCAATTGCTTTGGACCATACACTTCCCTCGATAAACTACAGCCCAAAGACACTAATTACCTAGCATGGCTTACTGCAATTTTTATTTGCTATCTAATCTCATAAATATTTTTCCGTTATGGCATAGTTCCCATCAAAACAAAATATAATGAGAGGCATATGCACAAGCCTTATAAGAAGAAATGGTGGGATCATCACCTTCTCTTTTCTTTTTTTTTAAATAGGCTTTGAGTAATAGCAGTTTTGACATGCACTGGCAACGTATTGCAGGACAAAAACCAACAGCCTGCTTGCAGCCCAAAAGCATGGCCATGCATCCATGATAATATTGCTAGCAATGGCCATGAGTACAATAAAATCACTACACAAGATATATAGTTCTGGCGGGTTATCACACCAAGGTCATCATGGCATTAGAAACACCATCCTACACAAGACTAATGAGAAGTAGTGCTACTGACGCCAATTGAAAAGAGAATTGCATGGATATGTTCCTCACACTCAAATCAAGTGAATAGCCTTCATGTAGCTATGGTTAAATCCCTACAAGTTGTTTCAGTATCATTGCAATGGCCAAACCAAAATTTGTCAAAAAAGGATATTGAGAAAAGAACATAATGTGAGTACAAAAACAAGTACTCAAACACATTAAAAATATTAAAAAAAAAATCTTAGGCTTAAGGATAGCCGGTACTCCTTTTTTTCAGCTTCTCCTTGACCTGGACAATCGCAAGGGTCTTAATACAATGTTCTTGCACTAGACAAGACTAAGTTTGAGAGATCCATGAATTGGACACTTAAATATTATTGGATTGTACAATTTCGTTAGGTATCAAACATTGCTGAATTTAGAATAAATCCAAATATGACCCATTCATGATGACTTTGAAGTTAATTTGTTAAAGTATCCGGATTGTAAGTCCTCCAACAGATGGTAGATCCAAATTATAGAGTACAGCATTCTTATGGATTCTTGAGGACCCCAAGATTTCAATTTTCATGATGTTGGTTCCAAAAAGATCAAATAAATAGAACTCGTTGAAATTCAATAATGGTTGGGCTCATGGGTTGTCATTGATAAGGCCAAGTTGGTACAAAGCCTGTAAAATTCGTATAGAAATTAAAAACAAAAAAAAAACAACGAGCAAAGTGCGAGTGCCCTTTAAATCTTTCATTTTTAGAAATTTAATAACATTAAGCCCGATCCTATCAAGAAGTTAACGTATGTCATATCCATGCAATTTTAGGAACGACAACAACGACACGCTCTTCTCTCATGCCAAGAAGAAATACTTTAGTGAGATCCTCCAAGATACTTGTCAAAGGAATTCTCTCATAAAGTCTACGGTACTCAATGTATGCTCACCCAAAAAGGACATGTGTGGTTTGCAAACTCAGTGCAAAACAAATTTGGATGCTACATTTTAATTTTTACAAAGCATAATCTTTTCACTTTACTAGAAAGGCTCCACTTAATCTCACGGTTCATATGGTTGCATTTACTTTTATTTTTTTATGTTTATACTGCCATGGGAAAAAAATAAGTAATATTTTTATTGATTCATCTAGTTGCCTCTAGGAAGATAAAAAAAAATGGAGTCAAATATTCGTTGAGGATTGTTTGGATGATTTATCTATATTCAATCAAGAAATTTTCATTAAATTTGCTTCTTCTTATTGATGCGGAGTATCTTTGGGGACGTGTTCTGCAAGGACATTTTATCAAGCACATGCACTGTTAACAGGGAGGCATTCTCCACTAATTCTCTGCTTTCTTTTATTTTCTGCTTTAGGGTCATTAGTACTTGAGTAAACTTTTATTTTCAGTAGCTGATTTTAGTATACTTTAGCTGAAGGAAATATATACCCCATAGAAAGGTTGTACACGGTTATCTTGGTTATTCTAAAAGGTATAGAAGTTTTATCTTCCTGTTCCATTAGTTTTGTTTCTCTGTTTTCCCAGCTTCAATTCTATGCAGATTGCCTACATCAGAGTTGGTAGCAGAGCCAGATGGCTGAAAGCAGTAGACGGGTGGCTCCCGGTGAAGAAGATCGAAGCCTTGAAGCCCTTTGGGCAGAGCATCGGAAACTAGCGCAGCATCTGGAGGAGGTTGCGACCGAAACTCACAGTTCCAGATGGATGTGCGAAGGGATCTATGAGCAATCCTTGCACGCCTGGAACGTAACCCGGCATTGCGGACAACAATGCCGAACAACCCACCTGCGGTCCGACGCGAAATGGACAGAGGAAGGGGCTTGAATCAGGATATGCCAATATTCGAAGCATCTGATTCAGACGAAGGAGCTGAATTGCTTAGGGAACTAGAATTATCCGATTCAGAGGAGAATGCAGAGTATCACCACCGTAGGCGTCCAAGAGGAGCTGATCGTCATCATGGGGAGTTTCGCGTTAAGATGGATATTCCGTTCTTTGACGGGAAACTGCACATCGAGGACTATTCAGACTGGGAGCGCACGGTGGAAACTTTCTTTGAATACATGGACGCCGAACCGACAAAACAAGTAAAGTATGTCGCCTGTCGACAGAAATCGGGAGCTAGCGCTTGGTGGTTGCAATTATTGCAATCAAGGAGATGAGAAGGACGAGGACCTGTACGCAGCTGGTGGAGAATGAAGCAATTGCTTAGAGGTCACTTCTTACCTACAGATTACGAACAAATGTTATATTTGCAGTATCAACATTGCTCGCAGGGGAACCGATCGGTTAATGACTATACAGAGGAATTTTACCGTTTGAGTGCAAGGAATAATCTAAATGAATCTACAAATCAATTGGTTGCGAGAAATGTGGGAGGATTGAAAGAAGCAATGCAAGACAAACTAGAATTAAACACTGTCTGGTCCTTATTCCAGGCAGTAAACTATGCTTTGAAAGTGGAGATGCAATTGGCAAGGCATAGCAGGAGTAGTCAAGGGAAGCGGGTCACGGAGCAAACAGTTGATAGCAACTGATCAACCAACGTCAATGTTGTTCTGACTGGCCAAATTCAGAACAGCATTGCGGGAAATCAAGTACCTGTGGGCGCCGGCAATAAAAATGTTGATATAAAACCTGCTCCGAGGTTCAAAGGTCAGTCAAAAGAAAATCCTTATGCTAAACCCATGACTATTAAATGTTTCAGGTGTTTTCAGCAAGGGCATAAATCCAACGAGTGTCCGACAAGACCACAACTTCATGTAATTGAAGCTGAAGACGACACGGCTTTAGAAGATGAAGAGGAAGATCCGGGAAACTCACACGAAGATGTGGGCGGGGATGAGGGCGAGCCTCTCATCTGTGTGATACAAAAATTACTCCTAGCACCAAGACAAGCCGATAAAACAGTCTGTTTAAAACCAAATGAACAATCAACGGGAAGGTTTGCGACTTATTAGTGGACAGCAGGTGTACGGAAAATGTAATATCCAAAGTAGCGTTGCAAGCTCTACAACTTAAAACGATCCCAAATTACAATCCTTACAAAGTCAGCTGGGTTAAAAAGGGAGTAGAGATCGCCGTCACCGAAAGTTGTCGTGTCCCATTTTCTATTGGGAAGAATTATGCTAGTGAAGTTGTTTGCGATGTAATTGATATGGATATATGCCACATTATCCTTGGGCGGCCATGTCAGTTTGACGTGGGAGCCATACATGATTGTAGAGCCAATACCTATGCTTTCGACTGGAAAGGAAAGACGCTCCGACTGTTGCCCAGTAATCGGGATATTGAGACAGTCACCCCCAACAATAAACCGTCCATGTTTGTGGTGTCGGGTAATCAACTATTGCATGCTTGGAGGGATTCATCACACATTTTGGCACTAGTTTTGAAGGAACAAGCCAATACAACTGAGCAAGGTAGTATCCCGGAACCTATCAATAAATTGATTGAACAATATGCTGACATCGAGCCAACCGATCTCCCAGCAAAATTACCGCCCTTAAGGAATATTCAGCATTGTATTGACTTGATACCCAGCTCAACAATACCCAATCTGCCGCATTACAGATTATGCCCGACGGAACAAAGCATTCTGCAGCAATTGGTTGATGAGTTACTTGAGAAGCAGCTAATTTAACATAGTCTGAGCCCTTGTGTGGTTCCCGCTTTGTTAGTTCCCAAGAAAGACGGAAGTTGGAGAATGTGCGTGGATAGAAGAGTCGTTAACAAAATCACTATCAAATTCAGGTTTCCTATGCCGAGGATAGAGGAGATGCTAGAAAGGCTAGCGAGGTCACAAATCTTCTCCAAATTAGATCTCCGAAGTGGGTATCATCAGATACGAATCAAACCCGGAGATGAATGGAAGACAACGTTTAAGACGCGATAAGGGTTATATGAATGGCGTGTGATGCCGTTCGACTTGTGCAACGCCCCGACGACCTTCATGAGATTGATGAATGAAGTACTCAAGCCCTTCCTGAATAGGAGCTATGTAGCTTACTTCGATGATGTGCTGGTTTTTAGCTCCAGTTTGGAAGATCACCTTCAGCACTTGCAACAAATCTTTGAAGCCTTTCGTCTACACAAACTCTATTTAAATTTGGCAAAGTGTGAATTTGCCACTGACGTTGTATCATTTCTTGGATTCAAAATTTCTGCTGCCGGCGTTAGTGCGGATCCCAGAAAAATTGAGGCAATAGTGGAGTGGCCTACACCCAAGTCATTTACTAATATCCGGAGCTTCCATGGATTGGCAAATTTCTAGAGAAAATTTATCAAAGGGTTTAGTTTTATTTTTAGCTCCAATAACTAATATCCTGAAACAAAAATAGTTTCAGTGGGGGAAAGAACACCAAATCAGTTTCGAAGCAATCAAGATCTCCTTGTCCTCTGCTCTGGTATTAGCTTTGCCGGACTTTGACAAACCCTTTTCAGTGGAAACTAATGCATCTACGGTGGGCATTGGAGCTGTGTTGACTCAAGAGGGCAGACCCATTGAATTCTTCAGTGAAAAACTATGTCCATCACGGCAGCGGTGGTCGTTTTACAAGCAAGAATTGTACGCTGTAATCCGGGCTTTAAAACAGTGTGAACACTATTTGCTGCACCGGGATTTTATCCTATGTAGTGATCACAAGGCACTACAATATATTGATACTCAAAAAAATATCAATCACATGCATGCAAGGTGGATTTTGTTTCTACAAAAATTTACTTTTGTGCTGAAGCACAAAAGTGGTGTTCAAAACCGAGTCGCGGATGCTTTAAGCCGCTGATCCGCTCTCATCACACAATTACAAACGGAATTTACAGGCTTGGAGCTGTTACAAGATCTGTACAGGGAAGACAAAGACTTTGGCAATATTTGGCTCCAATGTGTTAATAAGGAACCCACTGATGATTTTTCCTTGCGGCATGGATTTTTGTTTAAAGGCAATATTTTATGTATACCAAATTCGTCATGGCGACAACGCATAATTCAGGAAGTACATGGAGGTGGCTTGGCTACTCATGCGGGAAGGGATAAGACACTGACACAATTACAAAGCAAATTCTTTTGTCCACACATAAGAAGAGACGTCAGCAAATTTGTGGAATGATGCTCAGTCTGTCAAATGTATAAAGGGGGGGACAGAATACAGGATTGTATCAACCCCTATCGGTGCCTAAATCTATTTGGGAGGACCTGAGCCTGGATTTTGTACTTGGGTTGCCTCGCACTAAGCGAGGGAATGACTCGATTATGGTTGTTGTAGACCGGTTTTCCGAAATGGCACATTTTATTGCCTGTAGAAAAATGTTTGATGCTCTGACTATTGCCAGACATTTCTTCCGGGAGATCATGAGACTACACGGAGTACCTAGAAGCCTCACATCAGATAGAGATGTGAAATTTATAAGTCATTTTTGGCGGGAGCTGTGGAGAAGATTCAAGACCCAAGTTCAAATGAGCTCGTCTTATCATCCCCAAACCGACGGTCAGATAGAAGTGGTGAATAGAACTTTGGGAAACTTGTTTCGCTGCTTAGTACAGGAACAACCAAAATTGTGGGATGATGTGTTAAGCCAAGCAGAATTTGCATTTAGCTCTATGCCAAACCATTCCACGGGTATGTGTCCATTTAGTATTATTTATACTAAAATGTCGAACACTGTTTTAGACATTACAGCCATTCCAAATTGCAAAAGCAAAGCAGCTGCCATGATGGTGGATCAATTCTCTGACATGTTAGCCAAGGTCCGCTTGAAGCTAGAAGAGTCAAATGCAAAATACAAACTGGATGCCGATGGCCCGATTGTCATAGGAAGAGGAAGGTTTTCAAGCCAGAAGACCTTGTCTGGGTGCGTATGAAGAAGGAGAGGCTACCGGCGGGATCTTACAACAAGTTAGGCCAAAGAAAATTTGGACCATTTCCAGTCACTCGCTGCATCAATGACAATGCTTATGTGATCCAATTACCTGCTGAGTTCAACACACCCAATACTTTTAACGTTGCATATTTATATTCATATCATCCCCCGGACAACAATGCCGAAGATACAGGAGCCGAAGTGCAACTCTTTTGTGGAGGGGGCGCATGATGCGGAGCATCTTTGGGGACGTGTTCTGCACGGACATTTTATCAAACACATGCACCGTTAGCAGGGAAGCGTTCTCCACTAATTCTCTGCTTTATGGTCGTTAGTACTTGAGTAAACTTTTATTTTCAGTAGCTGATTTTAGTATACTTTAGCTGAAGGAAATATATACCCCATAGAAAGGATGTACACGGTTATCTTGGTTATTCTAAAAGCTATATAAGTTTTATCTTCCTGTTCCATTGGTTTTGTTTCTCTGTTTTCCCAGCTTCAATTCTGTACAGATTGCCTACATCACTTATGATCTCAAATGCATCATTTGTATTCCTTAGGACAACACTACAGATGAAGACATCTTCAAGGAGGCACCAGACCAATGTTGACCTGGTGGTGGTTAGCTACTCGCTCAACAACTAAGCTACGAAAGATCAGGATCCCGATGGATGTGCATATTTACAACTGTTAGCTCAGCCTCCTAACACTAGAGTTAAAGCAATAGAAATGACATTTTCGTTAATATACTCGGTATATTTGGATGGTTTAAATCTAGATAAAGTTGGTCAGGGCAAATGCATCAACTTTAGAAACATGTGAAGACAATTAGAAAGAATTCGCAGCACTAGCAATTGCTTTTCCATTCGATTCCACTTAGAGACTTACGGCCCAACAAATACAATCTACATTCCACATTCTGTTCAACTCATATGATCTACAAACAGAACATTCAGAGACGAATAAAACAAGGAGAAAAAAGAAGTTAACGAACCCGAAGAATCCTGGCGGCTTCAGAGGAAAACAAGGATGGATTGCCGTGGAGGTTAGGAACGGTAGACGATAGGCAATCCGCCACCGCTCGCCGAAGCGGCTCCGGCGGCCTTTTAGAGACTGACGAGGGTTTCCGCTGCTTCTGCGCCAGAACACCATAAAACCTCATGCTTGCCGGGCTCCGCGAGGGGCTATAACTTAGGGCTTTCTTCGAGCCCTGCGGCGGCTCATCCACGGACATCTCTCAATCTCTTTCTCTTCAACAAATCTATGATCTTTATCCTCTCTGCTGCTGCTCCTCGCGCTCTACATTCGAAACTTCTTCTCCTTGATCCCGCACTCCATCGAAAGCTTGGCCGGCACAGGAGAATGAGCTTAGGACGACGAGAGAGAAGATCAGAATTGGGAGATTTATTGGAACAAAAAGCAAGGATCAGAGAGCTGTACAAATCCTAGCATCGGGTGTCTGTGCAGTTCTTATGGTTTTTAACACAATTGACAGGGAAAAAATATGAAGGGAAGATTTCACATATCCAGCTGTCCAAAGAATTTTTCTTCAAAAACCAGATATATTGTGGAAATATCAAAACAGGCCTCTTATCCGACGTCACGTCGTAGGGTTTTATTTAAAAAAAAAATATTGATAATTCATGAAAATTTTAATACACTAAATATCTCATTATTTTATTATTTAGATAAATATATTTGAAACTTTATTTAAAATAAAATCCCATGTCTATCAAATATTTTAATAAATTTTTGAACAAGAAAGTTTGCCAAAAGTGACTTAGTAAATTTCATGTCTTTAATAATGTCAAAGCTCATTTGATGGCTTGAACTTTACGATCATCATTTGTTGAAGGTTAATTATGTTATATATTTTATTATGTATATTTGCATGTATTTATGGCTGACAATTATAATTATAATAGAAAGGAGATTGAAGTAGAATCTTGTATTCAAATAATTAGTAAGTTGTGAGTTTAAAATAAGATTTTCGATATGATGGATAAAACTGTTGGATAGTTTGAGTGATTTGTTCTTATTGAAAGGGTCGATAAATGCCCTTTAGACATTTTTTTGAGCTTACAAGTTGCAACTCTATGAAGCTTATTTCATCAACTACAAATATAGATAGTCGATGATGAGGAGAATGAGAAATGCTCTCTTGTGGTCAACATTCATGATGTTAACACGATATTTTGAGTAGTTGAATTTGAGTAACGCAGTATTTGAGTGATTTTTTTTATATGAGGAGAAATTCAAGGAGAAGAGTTGAATTATTAGGCTTGTTAATGATTAGCAAGATTGAGATCAGAACTTTAAAAATGTGGACGTGGAGAAAGCGCTCATGTTATGCACTTAGAGGGGTAATATATGAAATTTTGATTTATATTATATTATAGATGATATTCTACTCAACCATAGTAAGCACCATGTTGCTTTTACTGAGATGATTGCCTTGGTTGAAGACAAATAAGCATTTTTTGAATACACATGAGGTAGGCTATCATGGAAGATGATTGGAAGGGTCAAATAAGAATATGATTTACTATGAGACTACCATTCTGAAAAATATTGTTCCATTTAGTACAAAACACTTGATATGTTATAGAATTACAGTATTGAGCTTATGAAGTCATTCCCGAATAATGGAGACAATGTGAGAATATCTTAGAGAGAGAGCACAAAGATATTGAGCTAAAAGAGTAATAAAATATTTGCAAGCAAATTTTTCTTGTCATTATTAATGAACGAAAATAGAGGTTGCATGCAAAATATTATATTTTGAGTTAATTTATGTTAACTATTATTATAAATTAACTTTCAAGCATGCTTTGAGTTATTTTTAATAGATAATATTTTAAGCCTACAATTGTGCATAGCCTTAATGAAGAAGGCTTTTATAAGTCTATTATATATACTCATTCTTATATTCTCTCCAATTAAAGTTGCAAAGAAGAAGAAGATGATGACCACCGCATATTTTGCAGGCGGTATTCATGCTAATAAAAAAGTAGAAAAGGAAGTTGAAGAACAACTAGATGCTAGTACATCCATTTGCTCTTCCAATCAACTAATGCAACTTTATATAATTATTAGGAAATTGAAGAATAATTAGTTCATTTTTTAGAATAACCAGTTGAAGTTGTAGCAAAAATTAGTTTTTTTTTTTTTTTTAGACATAGTTGTGTATGTAGGCATGCGAAGAAAAATAATGATGTTGATTGTGTCACAAATATGAGTGAGGCTAAAATGGATAGTAATGATCCCTTTTTTGTTGACTCAATCATTCATACTGAAATTTGGTATGAGGTGGAGTAGGAGGATAAAGTAGATGTTCTTACCACTAATTTTATCATTCCTTTGGAAATTGGAGATGATGTGGTGCCTATCTCTTATCATTGTGCCTAGAGATGATGTAAAGAAGAAGAATAAAGAATAAGAGGAATTTAATTAGAGGCTTCATAGATCCATCAAGTAATATGCACAAGTCAATGAATCCAAGGGCGATTAATCCTTTTTGCCTACTCATGAAGAGAAATTATTTTTTTCTTCAAAGCATAGTTATCATGATTGGAGGACAACTTCAAATAGAGGAAGATAGAAGTGGGCAGTGAAAGCTTGTCGAATGCTATGTTTATTTGCAACCCTAATTAAACCTATGTATTTTAATATCTCATGTCATTTGTAATTAAATTTTAAAGGAAGGAAAAAGATTCAAAGAAGAGAAAGGAGAATGTATGATCAAGGTGTTGGCTTTTACTTATAATGCATACTTATAAGGTTGTTAGATCGAGAGGGAAGTGTAAGATCTCTTCCAACATGCCTCATCATACTCTTCAACTTGACCATCATTAGTTAAAAGACTAAATTAGTTAGTTAGTGCCACTTGGATCGATGAAGGTTTAATTCATCCAAAACCTAATATGAGAGCGACTCTCTTCTATCACATTCTGCTCGGACTTCATTAAACCTTCCATCATTTCCAAAATGGTTCCACAAAAATCCCATTAACATTAGATAGCTCATATCTCACTAAATAGTTTGGAAGTTATCAACATTCTCTAAGCTAAGCTTAGCCATCTAAAATCTTTACTCAAATTCCTTTACTTTTCAAAAACATTAAAACTTTGTCCAAATACTATAGTAATCATCGCCACCCACATCACTCGTCTATTCCCATTACATAATTATGAAAAAGATCCAAAGATCCCCTATAACTTCATTATGTCTCTGTATTTTAGTTTTATTATTACTCTTAAGAAGATTTGTTCATTTATAGCTTGGCCACATAGTGTGTAACATGTGGCATCTGACCACTTCCTAGTTTACCAAGTCTCACTATGCATTCCACTACAAAAACTTGTCCTCCATATTGTAATCCCCTAGGATCTAATGCAATAATTTAAGTTTACTTAAAACTATAGTTAATTATCTCATCTACAAATAACAGCAACTAGAGCTACTAAATTTCTCAAAACATACAAATAGTATAATGAACTTTCATTTCATCAAAATATATATATATATATATTTTTTTTCATTTCATCAAAATATAATTATAGTAATCCAGATCACAGAAGTTTATATATCACACAATTAAATGTTGTATTACAAAGCAATACCTTAGGAATTTTGATCCAAAACCCTGCATTTATACCTAATCTACTAAACAGGATCTTTAGCATTTCATAAAACATTTAAAAATAAAAGAATAAGCTCAAATAGCTCAGTAGACTCCTTCCCTTACCCCTTACATGAACAAATATATAATTCCAATATTTAAATATCATTTAAGTAAGAAAATATAAGCATTTAAGAATTTTAATAAGAAAAACATGAATTACTTGAATTTCAGCGCATACTAGACTTACAAAGTTATCACTTATTGTTATACTACCACTTTCACATAAGGTTTCCATATATAGTACAAAATACTCAATCTCAGAAGTTCGTTTGCACTTTACTTTCACTTTCCATCAAAACTCGTTCAGAGATTCATAATTTGTTACTGTTTTATTTAGAACATTTCTTAAACTTAATTAATTCAGACATTAAAATATTAAATGAAATGGTTATAATGCATCTAGCAAGTGTGGCCAAAATTCCTCCCGCATCTACATTAGGCAGATGGGGCCAAAAGAGTACTTGCAATGTTACTTAATCTCTCACATCTGATTCCAGCTAGTGGTGCTAGAATCTCTTCCACATATGTATCAAATAAGTGAGACCAAAAGAATATATTTAGGGCCCTCATAACCTAACAGAGGATGCACTTTCCCACATATCAGAACAAAACATCTCCAATGTTATATAATGTATAATGCAATTGTAATGTAGCAAGAATTAAATTTAACATATTATGCAATATTCAGATAATACAGGAATCGTTAGTAAAATGACACGTTGCTTTTAAAATAGAATACTCATTAAACATTCATTTTGTTTTTAATTTCTAACTTTAGAGAAACATTTACATGAATATTTTAAAATGTTTACATAATTACTGCATTTGCTAGAAAAGTCTCAATTCATTAATCTATAAAATTTGGATATTCACTTCTCAAGTTCAAACCTTGGTCAATTAATCCCCAATACCCATTCTAAAACTTATAATTACACATTTCATCAATTATAAATAAATATTTAATATAATTAACTTAATTACCTAAGTTTCTGACGACGGGTATCACACATACCTCCCAAATTATTACTTACCTTGATTTCACACCCCCCTAACCTAATTTCTTATAAATACTTTGTCCATGGACATTCTTGATGAGGTGAATAACTCATACCATACTAATACTCTAATATATCATAAAATGAGAAAGTGAGAGAAAGTGGTATAACTAAGAGCCTTGTAACCTTTTTCTTCCTCAAACAGTGGAATATTATCACTCTCTCATGACAATAAATGTATGCTACTTGTTTGAACCACTAAAATTTATGTGCACTCTCTTTTTTGTCTACTCAATAGCTACATTTCCTTCCTACCTTCTCCTTTTTTTCCAAGCAAACAATAACCTCTCCATTAAGAAATAACCCATCATGAACATTTGACCATTATGTTATGCATAAAGTTTAATTCTTCCCGTACTTAAACAATGTCTAATGATTGATGTCTACCAACATCCAAAGCATAAAATTGGTCGGCAGCCACCAACCAAAGATTCTTAGGTTTTATTTGAGACGGCTTTCTTACTGCTTCTTAAAGCTTCTTTAAGAAGCAATAAGAAAGCCATCCCAAACGAAACCTTAATATCTAGTGCTCCCCTTCTAGATTGATTGATATCCCCAATCCGATTATACATCAACCACTACTTCCCGGTGACACCACAAGCCATGCCTAGCATCGACCATCACCCTCCATTGTCAACCAATGCCGCCACTACCCACCATCAATACGCAAACAAAATTATTAAAAAAAAATAATAAAATGCAATGCTCTATTTTACAACAACGAACCTATCATCATAAAATATTTCAAATACAATAAATTTACTTTACACTACATTTAAAATGAACTAAAATTCTAAAATCATGGACCCAAATGATCCCATAACCATACAATAATTGAAGCTCCATTCACCACAATGGTTTCTTCTTAATTTAATATTTAATAAAATAAATAATTCATAAGATAATATGCTACCAAAAATATCATTTTTGAACACAACTTTATCATTTAGTAAGCATAAGCACTTACAATATATGCATCAATTCTGAAGTCAATATATATTACACGAAATTTCTGTGTATATTATATCATCATAAAGCATTCTCAACACCAATAAATAAATTTTGACAACTTTGAAGCTCAAGCTATATACATACAGAAGGAGAATATCAGATGTTCATATTAGGCAATAACTTGCAGGCCATGCTCAGCATGTAAATTTCATATCTTCATCTACATGAACTGATTCTTTTGCATAAGTAGAGAAATACTAACTGGAGACTGCAAGCTTAGAGATCATCTATTAGTAGGCCTCATCAAGACCAGGAGAGCTCTGTTCCTCCACAAGCTTCCCTGTGGTCCACCTCCTCAACATCTCCAGGGCTGCCTTGGGCTGGTCCATTGGAACCATGTGTCCAGCATTCAGAATCTGCATAGGTCAGTTATACTAGTCACTGTCAGCTTGAAATACTTACTAGAAACAAGGACAGTAGGAATCTACAGAAATATAATTTCATCTAGTATATATTTAGCGGCCATTTGTGGTCACTTTAATTTTTTATTTTGTTTCTATTTTGCCTTTGTTCTAAAATATTAAAAATATATATATATTTAACATTTTATGTATTTTATATTTTAATTAAAAATATTGCATATGTTCACCTCTCACCTCCACTCCCTCCCTTCCCACCATTGCCTCTCCACAAACCCCGACTCCACCCTCTCCTTAACACGTGATAATCTCTTTAAAACATTAGGGGTTGTTTGGCAACAAGTAGGATTTAACTTTAATAGGATTGAGTAAATCCTGTAAATTCGGATTTAGTAAGTCATGTGTATGTTAAATCCTAAAAACTATTTAGCAAGATAGTTGTTAAATCCTGTTAAATCATGTTAAATTGTTTGACAATATAATCTAAGATTTAAGACAGTTGGTTCATTTAAAAATTAAATTTAATGTGTTTTTTAATTTAATTTATATATTAAGTACAAGTTACTAATTAATTTCAATTTTAATTACTGCCAATCACTTTTAATGATAAATAATATAATTAGAAGCTTACTTGATTATCAAATGATTTAAATAATAGTTTAATTACTAATTAAATACTAATTATCAAACTATTTATTTAAGTGTTAATTTAATAAGTATTTAATATATAATTATATTCATAATTACCTAATTAATTAGTTATTTTTAAAAACTGTGTATTTATGGAACTAGTACTCCAACTAATGATTTTATTAATTATTTAAGTATTGTTTAATTAGATTTAATTATTAATAATACAATTAATTAACTCAGTAAGCAGATAAATATTATGTTATTCATTAATTATTTAATTATTGTTTGCAACGTCAATTACATAATTAATTATTCAATTTCAATTCTAAACCCTAAGCTAATTATATTAATTATTAATTATACTACTAATTATTTACTTAAGCTTAATTAGATTATGTAATTACACTACTAATTATACTTAATTATTTATTAGATTTAATAAGTTATTAATATTTTAAATTATATTAACTATGCTAAATTAGATTAATTAGATTGAGGCCCTACAGGCTTTGATTTTCATCTGCATTTCTATGTTGTTGTTAGCCTGCTGATTTTCCTCATCATCATATCTTTCTTGATGCTTCTTCCTAGCATGCTTCGCATAAAGTAGTGTGTTGAAAGTGTTGCTAAACAAGCTTCTTTGCCTCCTGCTTCGACGACGTTGGACCGAAAGTCACGTCGAGAGCTGGCTCGCTCACTTGCCGCTGGAGAACTTTGCAAATCCATAAATCCCATTAAATCTGCCGAAGAACGGGATTTAGTAAATCCAGAATTTACGTTGTAAATAAGTAAATCCAAGATTTACAATCGATTCGAATTTACTGCCTGCGATCTCGAATCGTTGGCAGGATTTACGACAAATCCGACATAAATCATGCTTAAATCCCGCTACCAAACAGCCCCTAAAGCGGGTAGGCTGTCATTATAGGACAAGATTATTTGATCAATGCAACATTACTTGTGAGTTGCAAAGAGTATATTTCTACGATTCAAATTATGATATCTAATTCTCTATCATAATAGGAGCAACTTGAACATTGCTTTTATGCACATTCTATCCATCAAATACCACTAGATCACTAGATTTGTTCGAATAATTCAGTACAATAATGAGCGAAATGTTGTAGCAGGGATGCTTACCTTGAGGAAAGTTAGAGGTCCAGATGACTTCAGCAACCCTGCTTCATGTTGGTCAACAGTAAATGGTACAAAGGGGGCTACAGAGAAGTTCTGATTACCAGACCACTTCATTGAACCAACCCATCTATAATTCCCTGCAAAGAAGAATAAACACATGAATCAATTACATCTATCTCTTCTAATTACTCATCATTAAGAAAAATTATAAATAACACCATATCAAACCATATCAAAATCACATAGAGACAAACTAACTTCATGATTACATCTAAACTTTCCGGCCTTTCTTTTCATATGTAACACACATAATATGGGACATCTTTGAACTTTGATCTTAAATTAACAAAAACAACACTTATGCAGAGTCCATATCAATATATTTGTTTAAGGGCATAAGGCATTATCAATGCTTTTTTATGCATTGGTCTCATTAAAGACTCTGTGTCTAATTTGCATTACTCTAACTTTCACAGATCAGTCACAATCCTCTTACCACATTCACAACATCAGGTAACAAAACCTTCATGATGGGGACATCGACAATAGATTCTGACACGTTTATCAGAGAAAACAACGGAGATCGATGGTCATGATGGAGAACCTTTACTTTTGATGCACTTTATGTACTAGTTATTTTTATATTTCAATTTTTCCATTTTTACCCCCATGGGTAGTTAGTTTGCTTTTGTAACCCGAGGGGCATTCTAGTCTTTTTTTTTTGTCATGTCGAGGCCTATATATATGGCCCCTTCTTATGTATTTAGGATGATTGATTGAATAAAAATTTTTGAGTTTTCTTTGTCTCCCTCAAGGTTTGAGTGGTTGAGAGAAGAAGGCCCAAGGTATGGGATCGCAATACTCGTCAACTTTTGGAAGGGGGTCCAAGGTTCGCGGCTATTATTTTTTGTTCCTCTCATCTCCTCTAATCTCTCCCCTCTCCCCCACACCACCGGTTTGCTCCACTCCCACCGCCCCCTTCATTTTCCCCTACTCGACCACCACCTCAAGACCCGTCGACCTCCCTTAGCCGTTTCTCCCCCACCACTCGGCCCAACTTCCCCCCATCTTGACTCCACCCCCTGTCAACCTTTAGAAGGGTCCTGTGGGATCCGAAAATTCAGCCTCGGCCTCCGCCCGATTGTTGCTTTTTCTTTTCAGGGGGAGTTTTAACGAACTAAGTTCCGGGGTAAATTTTGGAAGGTAAATAGGTTTGTAGATAAGACACTACCCAGAGATTTCACCCTCATTTTGTGAGGACTTTATGATCTGAGTTTTGGTTTCCTATAGGTGCAAGCCCCTATAGTTAATTACTCCTACCGATAACGAGAGAGAACTTTTGATTAAGGCTAGTCGTCAATCAGATATGTAGAGATATGTGTTATCTGGCATATAGTAGCAGCACGGGCTTGAAAAGATTGAGGTTTAATATTTAAAAATTGAAATTTCACAATCTTGCACTTAAAGCGGATGGTGGGGGAATGAATGATGGACCCGATCAAGATCCCAAGGTTCCGTCATCCCGGACCATCGTGGTCCCTGGTCTACTTAGTCAGAGGAGGTAGTCAACCCAACCTGATAGAAGGATCCTTGTCGGCAGCCATGGGTTGCTTCGTCCAAGGGGACCTTGTAGACCTGAGTTGGATGTTTGTCTAAGGGAACAAATTTGAATCCACTTTAGCTAACAGAGGGCTTTGTGCCCTATCGATCATATCCTATTGATTCATATCTCAAGGATTTGATGTCATTAAGGAATGTATTGGCTCTGGCCATAACCGGTATTTCGTGGTGCCATTTGACGACAAAACCACTCGGTTCAGAAGGCCCCGGGTCATAACCGTTTATCCTGTTGTTCCATTTAGCGGCAAAATCGCCGGTTGGAGGACACGTACCACATCCTTATTGATAGGAGATTGTTTGAGAATGGATCCTAGTGATATTTTCGACTAGACATTTGGCTCTATGTGAGCTGAAGTAGTTTTCAATTTGTCCACACCCAAGCAAACTGTTGCGGAGGGTGGATGGATTTTGCTTTAAGTGTTGATGGATTTATTTTAATTTTAAATATTTTAGATTTTGGGATTTTGAGATTTATGGGTGGCATTTGGAATATTTGAATCACCCCTCTGGTTGAGATCTACGTTCAACGTGGCCATCACCGAGGTGTTTGTGTCACGACCCGGCCCGGTGAACTCGCAAGTGCGAGGCGGGAACAGAGATCGGACGGGAAAAGAGACAAGTTACCATAGCATAACATTAAATCATCCAACATAAATTAACATCTTTACTATAAAAATGAAAGAGCCACTAATACAAATCCAAATAAGTTTTCATTTGTCATTTTCATTCATCTTTCATAAGAAAATAAGTACAAAGAAGGTTCTTCCAAAAGAAAGGATCCAAACAAAACTAATCCTCACAAAATCTATGCATACAACCTTCTATCATCAAAATAACAAAACTCAAAAGAACCTGCCGCCCGTCGTCTCCCTACGACGGTAAGCGCGGGGTGGTTGGTCTGTCATCCATCCCTTCTTAGATCCTTCATAAACTAATCAAGTGTATGTTTCCTTAGGGATATGCATGCTTGATATGCTTATGTGTGCTTTTGCATGTAAAGAGGAAAGACATGTATAGTAAGAGTAGAGAAATGAGCATAAGATCCATTCATGAATTGTACATTTGCATAAAAAGAACATTTGCCTTTGCTTTGAGTGTCCATGAACTTTTACAAAGAAGCAAGAGTCATAAAAAGATATCATAATAAACATGAAAGAATTTACCATTTCTATGTAAATGCAATGAAAGAAAGGTTGGCTAAATTTATAAGAACTTCCATTCCACCTACCTTAATGCGTGCACCACAATGCGAACCTTCAAAAATCCTTATGCCCCTTTTCCTCTTACGAAAATCAACTCTACAAATGACAAAACATAAAGTATAAGCATAAGTTTCCTCCCTCAAACCTTAAAAGAAAAACCCTAGGCAAAGCATATAGCTAATCAACACATCAAGCATTGGTTTTTCTATGAAAATCCCTCACTTAAACCATGCTAAATCCAATTTATCTTCACTACAATTAGAATTTCATCCCAACTCTAGCTTTTGGAAAACCCTAACTATTAGGGCATGCAAAAACTTCTTCTAAAAAGAATCCATCTTCACAAAAAGACTTCCTAACCACAAATAGAAACTTTTCTACAAAGGCATTTTAATAGAAAATCAAAATCGGATAAACCCTAGATTTCAAAAATCTATAATTTTATAAAAGTAACTCACATTTGGGTTTTAAAAACATCACATTACCTTTCTCTAAGCTTATCCTAAAGAAAACTCTCATTTCTACAAAACCCTAATTTACAAAACACAATTTATTCTTATAAAACTTAAATAAAATTTCATAATTATCTTCCAAGAATCATTAGGAAACATCTTTATGAATGTACTTTGAAAGAAAACCATTTTTGAGTGAAACCCTAACTTTCAAAAATTCATATTTTCAAAAAATCAACTCGCATTAAGGTTTAGAAACATCCTTTAATCATTCTCTAAAGTTTTCTCAAAGAAAATCCAAGTTTTCTCAAAGCCCTAGTTTCCATTTCTTAGAGAAAACTTGAGGGAAGAAGGAGAAAACTCAAGCAAAACACATACCTTAGTCTTCCCTTGGATTTCCCCACATTTTCCTCCACAATCGGCCGACGGAAACCCTCCACTCGAAGCTCCCATCGCCTTGCTCGTCCGCCTCTCCTTTGTCCGCTCGGTTTGGGCTAAAAGAGCGAATGAGGGAGAGTGGGGAGGTTTCGGTTTGCCTAATAGAGAGAAATGGGAATGGCCAAAAGACCTAATTGCCCTCACTTAAGCAATTTCGGCCTTCATATTGCATAGGGGTAACATTGGCATTTCTAACCTTCCAAAATTTATAATTCTCAAAATACAAATAATTAAACATAAGTCCTATATATCAAAACGATCAGAATTTTACGCTCTATTTTCTAAAATTAATCCCGTCGAAATCCGACAACTTCAAAATTTTCACTTAAAACTCGTCGCGGCGCTTTGAAAAGCGTGCAAAGTCTTAGACGGCATTTGCGGGTTTTACAGTTTGGGGGGCATTTTCATTTATGTACTGAACCTTGTCAACTCGACCAAGTTGTTGACCGATGAACGGGTTTCTCGTAGGCTTTGTGCCTTTATTAGTGAATTCTCTTGATCATAGGCCTTGAAGGCCTAATATGAATGTATTAAAATAAATATATCGGTCGCCACAGCCATATATTTATTTGATGGTTCGAACCCTGTCAACTTCTATTGATCCACATAGAAGGATCATGTTCGAACTTGAATTCACTTATTGACCGGCACAGTATCCCTAGACGTCATGTGTGTACCATAACACACTCGTCGGGGCCCATGCGGGTTTATGATTGCACTTACCCCTTTAGTGTACCTATGTGTATACAAACTAAGGTGCATGTGCAGGGGTATTTTGAAATATTTGTAAATGCGCTTTGTCCGCTTGCAAGAACGTTGCGGATCCGGTGGCGTATTGTAGCAGCTTATAGATTGAGTTGTTTGTTGCATTGCATAAGTTGACTGTTGTGCACTACTTGCTGCTTTTTGTAGGTGGATTGTAGTGCACTAATGAATCTCCTGCTTTTGATCATAGATGTATGCATTTGATGTAGTATCATCAGCCTTTGCTCTTAACAGATCAATGTAGTTACTTAATATTGACCAGTGATTGACCGTTAAGGTTATGTAGCATTCATTGGATCTCCCTCATCACCATTCATGAGTAGTTTGATGTGTATATTTGTATTCACAAATGATCTTCATATCTTGCATGACATCTTTCAGCACTTGTTGTGAATAGCGTCGCTGCATATGCTTTGAGTTCATTCCACTGCTTACAGAATTGAATGTACACGTTTATGTTACAGTGTTACTAATGACATAAGCATCTGACATTTCTTGCATATCTTTCATTCAATCTTTGGTCATTGCTTGCATGTATTCGTCATTCCATGTGTATGTTTTTCATGAATCTCTCCTTCACAAATGCTCCATTGATTTATGTTCACAACCACATGCCGGCAGTCGCATTCTCTTATTCGCATGATAATTCTTTAGTACTGATTGAGGCCCCCATATCATTGATCACAAGCGGGTAAGTGCATTCACTTGAATGCTACTATTAGAGAGTGGGGAACTACTATACTTATTACATGTTAGTTGTTGCTGTTCAAGAGCCGGTCATCATATATTCTACTAATGTTTGCATTATAGTCAATGTGATGACTCCTCAATATCATATTGTTGCATTCTCCAATTGATTTTTACTTGTAGTCAACACAGTGGGTGTTTGATGGGTCATATATGGCAGATTGTAGGAGCTCGTAAGTGGATCATTGTATATGCAATAGATTCATGTTCATGCTTGTAGTTGTAGTATGCCTTTTCATACACATTGGTTGCATATTTCCTATTATCACCTCCAAGTGACTCTTTTCATTGACGTAGTTTTCATGAATAGAATGCAATCTCTATCGAAGATTTCGTAGATTTGCGATTCCACTTCCACTTATATCCAAGGAGTTCCATGTCAAAGTACAAACCTTTTTATTTGTTTACATAGGGCTTGAATGACATCTCCTACTCATCATTTGAATTCAAATCAAAATAAAAATTCTTTAACATTTTGAAGTCCTTCATTGCTCATTTGTTTCAATCATGTTCAAACCAATGTCAAACTTGAATTGTGTTTAGGTTTATTCAAGTCATATGTCTTTTGCATTCATTTGAGTCCACTTTCAAAAGTTCTTGCTTGAGCTCAAGTATCAAACTCAAGTTCTATGTCCCCTGCAGTCCTTTGAGTTCAATGAAGTTCAAGCCTTGTCAGCTTAATGTTCAAATCAAGTCCTTGATTGAGTTCAAGATCATTTGTATTCAAGTCTTATATTATTTTGCTCGAATTTTAGTTCAAGATTCATTTCAAATTCAAGCTTATTTGGATTCAAGCTTGAGTTCATTTAAGTCGTTTGTTATCAATCCAAGTTCACTTTTTTTTTGTTCAAGTCCTTGTCCTATTTTAGACAAAATTTCGGCAGTCTCCTAGCGTCTCCCTCGTCTAGGGGAAAAACCAAGAGGCAACCTTCCCCTCGTCGCTACTTAAGCGCTTCAGGTAGGGGTCAAATGACACCGCGGTTGTATTTTTTTTTTTTAAATCCCCGCCTGCTACATAAGTGTTTAAGGGTTCCGAGCACATTTTTTAAAAGAGCACAATTTTCTTTCCCCCCTCTGCACTACCGGTCTCTCTCTCTCTCTCTCTCTCTCTCTCTCTCTCTCTCTCTACCGAAGGATTAAGAATCGAAAGGTGGAGTTCGGGTGAGGGCTTTTTCGGCCTGGAGGTGAAGTTGAAGGAGGAATCGGGACAGATTGGGGGTTTCGACTACAATGGGATTGGCGTCGGGCTGCTGGAGTGGAGTTGGTTGTGAGCAAGGTCGGACTGGAGGTTGGGTTTCGGCTTGGAGAAATGGAGAGGTCGGGAGGTGTTCGCATGTGGGAAGAGGGAGCAGCCAGAAGGCTCCGCTTCGTTTGCATTTTAAAGACGAGGATGGACCTCCTCGAGCGGGATCTGAGCATGAATTGCGGAGAAGCGACGCAAACGGCGTTGAGCTACAGGATTTTGCGGGATTTCTGCACGAATTCGGCTGGATTTTAGATATGATTTAAGCCACTTTTATTTCTTTTGGCTGTGATATTGAGGTCAACAAGTCCAAGGTTCGCGGCTCTTATTTTTTGTTCCTCTCATCTCCTCCGATCTCTCCCTCTCCCCCACACCACCGGCCAGCTCCACTCCCATCGCCCCCTTCATTTTCCCCTACCCGACCACCACCTCAAGACCCGTCGGCCTCCCTTAGCCGTTTCTCTCCCACTACCCGGCCCAACTTCCCCCCATCTTGACTCCACTCCGAATTCCATACCAACCCCCCAGATCCACCGCCGGCCACATGCTTTCCCTCTCTTTGAATAACGAATTAACTCATCCTTAATACTTGCCTAAGATAGCCTAAGTGATTTGGGAAATTAATCTCAACAATTTGAAATTCAAATAGTTTCCTAAATTACAAAGCCATATTAGGAAAGTTTTGAATCTAATCCCAAGCTAATTTTAGATTGGATTGGAGTGATGTATTCTCTTCCTAAAATTAGAAATACCAATTAGGAAGCTCCTCTAATTATTCCCAAATTCCCTTCCTCTCTTATTATCGCCAGCCTCCCCCATTAATGGGCCTTCCCATTGCTTCCTAGTGAGGATTCCAATCAAACCTTAATTTGAATTCAAATTTTAAATTAAGTCCCTCCAAATATACTTAGAATCTAAAATTAATTTTAGATTTGGCTAAAGCTCTCCCTCCCCCTCACTAACCTAACCAAGCTCCTTCATCCAAACCGTTCCCCTCCTCTATATCGTTTGGCCGCCCCTCCCCACTCGTCCCCTTCCCTTTGGAGACCCCGCACCTCTCATGTCTTTGGAAGCAAAAAGAAGAAGACGAGCTCCTCCTCCTCATTGGTGTATGGCCGACCCTGAGGTCAACCACGGTTTTGCCTACAATGCACAATGAGAGATTGACATCCTACTCTCTCCCTTCTACGAACTGGATTAGGAATACGACGACTCCGTAGAAAGCTACGTCAACCGCATCCTTTATTGCCTCGCCGAGACGATTAAAGATCAATAACCCAAAGTGCCTTGGCTTCTCATCAGACAATGCACTCCTCCTCCATCGTTGACTACCTTCTATGGGATTAAAGCCATTGTTGTTACTAACGTCTTTGTGGCATCGTTTAGTGTACTGAAAGCTTCTCTCCACTAAAGCCTCATATTGAGTGTGAGTGAGAACTATAACTTGAGGTGAAATCTCTAAATATTAAGCCTTGGATTTTATTACGGCATTTCTAGTGTTATTGTAAACTTTTGAATTGTCTTAACTTGTTCTAATCTCCTAAGCTTTGCAACCACATGCTAAGACAAGATTACTAATTGAGAATTCTTATAATCATGCCTTATGACTCATTAACCTTAAAGTAGCACGCTTCGCAATACTTTTATTAATTCCTTGCAATTCTTGGTTGGTTTCACATCACTTCAACTTCTTTGTTGCTGGTCAATATTATTTCTAAACTCAAATTAATATCTTCCGTACCACCTTGAGTTTGAGGGCAAGTATTACCATGTTTAAAATATCTTGTGTGCTAACTTATTTATAATAGGATTTTGTAATTTTTCTCCATTGTTCTCTTCTTTTATCAATATATGAGTAAATCTATATTGTTCTAATTTAATAATTCTATAAAGATGTAATCCTTCATAATTCTCAAACTCCTCTAGTAACCAAAAAGCGAACCTTTCACCATGTAACCATTTTGATTTAAATGAATTTTCATGTTATAAGAGGAACACATCCCACAAGTTAAACTTTACATAACCGCAAGAAAAGGAATTCTAAAGATGCTTTGGTGGTCGTTTGTCGTTTATATAATGAAAGCCCTTCCTTCAAGTTGTAGCTTATCATTCCTGGAAACAGTGAGTGGCATGTAGTAGCCATCACATGTCATGAGAACAGTGACATCAACTTAAGAACTCAAGCAAACCAACTAAAGTTCCATGCCTCACAAAATAAGCAAATCACATCAGTTCTAAGAAAAAAAGGAAAATAATCCAAGCAAAAAAGGTTTTCTAACCCACTAAAAATATCCACGCATCAGAAAGTGTTAGATATTCAACCATATAACTAACACATACCTAAAAAAAAGAACTATCCAATATCACAATTTATTTAAGATTCATAGCAGGAACTTACCAAGCCAGTTGCATATGAGGTCATATTCACCAGCATAAACCAGCAGCTCGATACCTTCGTCAATCAAAGTAGGAATTACCTCTTCTAAATTCTTCATCAAATCAGCGAGCAAGGCCCCATGAACAAGAGGATTACAGGAAACAAATTTCCGGTCACCAACACCAAGTGCATGCCTGACAGATTTCTGGTTTAAAAACTTTTCCATGTTGGAAAAATCATAACAAAGACTTCCTTCACATTTCTTTCGGATATCATAATACTGGAAAAAGGATTAAGTTCAACATGCATCAGTATACTCAAGAGAAATGCAGAGTAAGGCCATAGAATATTGACTGAAGTCTTACGTTGATATCTCCTGCTAGAAGCAAAATTGAAGTGAAGATAGAGTTGCAAACCATCAAGGAAGCAATGCATGTAATGATCCCATGGGCACCTGCAAGATGTTGCACGAGATTTTTGTAAGTCGTTTCCAAGCTGTTTCATTTAACAGCAACATATATTAATCCGCTGAGGAAATTTGAAACATCAAAAGCGTCATAATTATCATTTCATGCAAGGGCCACCTACCACAAAGCTTGACTGAAAGCTCACAAACAGGATATATTTTAGAAATTGCTTTATATTCTTTTTCCCCTATTATACCCGTGCTGTATGCATAATCAGCATATGCGCTGTACTGTATTCCAGGATTTGTTAGCCCATTACCGATAGCAAAACCCTGCAGGAAAGTTAGAGCTTACACCAGTTAAGATGAGCAATTCTCTATCAAGCTCAGCTGAAGAAAGATGAAGAACATGGTTCCAAGTCAAAAGTTGATTAAGACCTATAAAACTATAGAAGGGTGGTAGAGAATGCTAACCAATGATAACGAAGAATCATTTTAAAGCCAAGAGTAAAACGAAAATATGATTTCAAGATAATTTTTCCCATTCAATTTAGCAAGTTTACCTTTAAATTTAAGTGGAGACCATGTTTTTCTTTGTTCCCTCTATGAACCCTCTCAGTAACAGCAGGAACATAGTGTCCAGCATAAGACTCTCCAGTAATATATAGCTCATTCTTCAAATAGCCCGAATGCTCTTGAAAGAAAGCCTATGGCCCATTAGCAAAATCATGAGATGTTAGGTAAGAAATTAATAAAACGTGAATTTATCTGACCAACTTACATATCAGTATTAGGATAGTTAATTGCCTTAGATTGAAATCATATCGTGTAGTTGTATGATAGTGCACTCATTACAAAGGTTGTTGTAGGTATTCTTCAAATCAATGGCAACAGCAAGTATCATGAGCGAGAGAATATATATGAAAACATCATTTATATATGTTTTTTTGGAAAAATCAATTAGAAAATGAGGAAACTGTTAAACTCTTCTAAAAATTGCATTGAAAAAATACAGAGCTCAAAGGTATGATAAGCTAAATTATAGTTATTATTGTAGTCATACATGGCAGTTAAAATATGAAGCTGCTAATCATAGGCGGATTTAGTGGGGAAGGGGATTCGCAATTTCTTTTTCTTGCTTTTTTCTCATAGCTTGCTTAAATATAGTAGCTTAAAATATGCTTATTATAATTTTTTTATATATTTTTATATTAATAAGATGCAATTTTTTTATATATTTATTGCTCATTATAAATATTTTTTACTTATATGAAAATGTACTATAAAAAAATAGTTGAAATAGATGAGCATGACAATAAGTTTTTTCATTATTATAAAATTTATCTTCTTATAACAACTATAATAAAAAAATTAAAACTCTAATGTCAATTTCAAGCTCAAATGAAAAAACTTGACAGTATTTTTCAAATTAGAAATTGTGGATAAATAATCCTTGCCCCGCCACTGCTGTTAATAAGACATGATATTGTTAACTTTGAAGTGAATGCAGTCTTGACACCAAATGTTAAGAGACGGGTGATGCATAATAATACACAAATGAGCAAAAAGAAAAAGAATTTAGAACTCAAAAGATCTTACCTGTAAAAAATCATATAAATCATCACTTATACCCTTCTCACCAAAGCGAATATCCCGCACATCCGTGCTATAGCTAAACCCAGTACCGGTGGGTTGGTCAACATATATAAGATTTGATGCCTGAAAAAGAACAAAACACAACAGAAAATGTTGAATGAATATAAAAAAATAAAAAATGGCTGAATGCCAAATCATTTGTCTGAATTTAAAACTTCCATATAATTATAGAATATCTATTAACTGATAATAAGTTAGTATTGCTTTTCAAACAGCGAATTTTAGTTTAACTTATCTAAGTATAATCAATTATTTGATAGTTGAATTAACTCTACCGTTTAACTCAAAAAATGGGTTCATGAATCTGTTATTCCACATGAACACTGCTTATTAACAAAACAGTAACTAAACTCAACTTTTGCGCACTACTACATTTGTATTCGAAACCTCATTCTATACATTATTTTAGGCAAGGTACAAAGAACATGGGTTGTCTAATGATAGATTTTTGCCTTCAGAGAGGCTCGCACATTTCAACCAAATAACCAATTCTAGAGATGATAATTTAAATTCTAAAAAAATAAACTTCTAATACAAAAAAATGATAACCAAGAAAATATTAATAAAAAGTAATCAGTTTTTTTTTTTTTTTTTAATGCGGTTGCCTGAATTTGGAATGGAATTCAAAATCTAAAACACATTTAGGGTTTGTCAATTACAATTTTTTTGAAAAGAAACAAGATCTTAGAATAGTCCAATTTTTGACAGCTAAAACATGGAGGAATTGCCTAGTGAAAATTTAGCATAAGCAAGAAATACCTTGTCCCATCCATAATCAGACCAGATAAGAGACATGTTATCAGCAATCTTGAAAGGACCATTTTCATAAAAAAGGGCTAATTCACTGCTGCATCCAGGACCTCCAGTCAGCCAGACAACGACAGGGTCACTGCTCTTGCCTCGGGATTCAAAGAAAAAATAGAACATCCTGCAAATAGAAAAACAGAACAGCAACAGTGGTTGGAAATCTCTTAGACTTCATTTGACAAGGCTTATGCATTAATTTTTTTTTTCCTATCAAGTCCATTTTTCTGCTATAATTGTTCATCCATAATTCATTCAAGGCTGCCTTACATACTCCCTTTCCACAAAGTTCCTTATTACTTTTGTTTATATTGAAAACGGTGCTTTGGAAAGGAAAGTCCTCTGAAGGGCTATCAGTATCACGACTATGGCTGCTCACACAACTGATCCCAAGATTCTGCTTAGTGATTTCAATTGCATCATGCAAGGCAATGCAAAACTGTAAGGGAGGGCTGTCCCAAATTGATTGACTTCAACTGCATTTTTAATGTATTTGATGGAGATCCTCAATTAGAGCCTTTCTTACAACTGGTACAACCATCAACTTAAAAATCAAATTCATTGTCTTCTGGATAGATCTTTTGTAACACGAAATGGCAAGACCATTTCCAAATTATTGACTAAAAAAATCGGATAAGATCTTCTCCACAATGCCTTAGATGTTCAACCAATTCAAGCTACGTCCATCAAAGTCAAATGGATTAAACAACGTCCTAAATATGTTGGATTAGGAAATAAGAGGATGACCTTAAATTTCTTCAGCACAAAATTAGAGGTAGACAAAACCTAAATGTTATAAAAGAAATAAACTACTATATTTCAACTCTATTTTCTCTGAATGATATTGGTTATGTTGGTATTTCCTACTTCTATGGCATTTTAATTGTACATACCCTTTTTCTGGAAATGTTACTAATTATGTGTTGTTGGGTGATAGAGCTATCATATCTAACCAAACGTTTCTTATTTGTAACTTTGATGATAGAAATATAAATGATTCAATATTTAACATTGGTAAAGATAAATTTCATGGGCCATATGGTTTTACAATAAAATTTCACATGGATGCCTAGGTTGTCATGGGTTCTTAAATTGTTAATGTCGAGCAACATTTCTTCTCCACTGCCAAGCTACTTGAGAGAGCTAAACACTCAGCAATCAATTTAATACCCAAAATATTGCACTTAAAGTGCCTTAGTGACTCTGGCTTATCTCTCTTTGCAACACTCTACCAAATTATATCAAACCTTCTTGCAAATAGACTTAAACTCATTCTTCCATCCTTGATTAATAGTACTCGATCTGTTTTTATTCAAAATAGAGATATTACAGAAAGCATTGCTCTTGCCACTAAGCTGCTTAAGGTTCTAACTCTTCCAATTACCCTCAACATTTCTTTGTTAAGCTTGATATTCACAAGGCATTTGAAAGTGTTCACTTACACACAATCTAAAAGAATGATTCAAAAGGGCATACCTAGAACCTTTGTTAATTGGATTAATGGTTGCATTGAAGACGTTCCTTTCTTTATCATTATCAATGGTGAATTCAAGGGTTATTTTAAGGCTTCTAATGTTTTCAGACGAGTGAACTTTGTGCCATTTTTATTTAACTCTTGTGATGGATATTTCCTCTTCCATAATTGATTCTCAATGCCAAATAGAGAATTTTGATGTTAATTGTTGTGACAATGCATCTATCTCACATCTTATATATGTTGATGACTTGCTCATATTTGGTAAAGCTAACACTTCCTGTATTCAAATCCTTAAGGCTGTTCTTCACTCCTTCGCCTCTGTTATTGTCTCTAAAACCTTGCCTAACTTCACTGATTCTCTCAGTTCCATGCTCAGCATAAATTATTCCCCTTTCCTTGGAAATATTTGAGGATTATTGCCTCTACCTCAAGATTAAATATCATGGACTGCTCTCCCATCATGAACAAACACGCGGCTTGGATAAGTGAATGGAAATAAAAAGTTGTGTCCCTTGATGGAAGAGTATAGTTCATTAAATTCACCATTTGGAATTACCTTATCTATTGCTTGAGATCTGCTATCATTACAAAATGATGTGATTAAAAGTTGGGAAGTAAAATCACACAACAAAAAACAAACAAGAAAAAGAAAACAGCGGAAAATTACATTAGAATTTAACGTGGAAATATTTGAAACAGGGAAAAAACCACGGAGCCACACCACACCAAAAAACTTACTCATAAAATTGGGAGAAGTTGAACGGATCTCTCTTCTCACACTCTCTCTTTGTCTCTCTTCACTTCACACACACTTATCTCCTAAAAACAAATAAGAGAGACACTTAAAAACATATAAAATGATGCAATCTTCAAGTGAAATAAGAAGAAGATGAAAGAAAAACTGCTTAGTTCAACTTGCAACGCTGCATCGCTTGGGTTGGAGCGCAGCAGTGCTCCACTCTCTGTCTCCAACCCAAGCCTAAAGTGTTATAGACAAAAAAAAAAATTAGTCTTTGCCCGCGAACCCCTGAGCAAGGGGTGCGCTGCCTCCTAGCAAGCTCCTTGTCGAACTCGACCAACAAATTTGAGGTTTAAATCACCAATACAACCCATTTAATCGACACAATCCGATTCCACACAAAACTAACATTAAAAAGACCAGCTCTTTAATTTCTAAGTTTTTAATGCTAAAAATAAATGTCATACAATTTCATGCTTCTCAACTACCCTACCTAAAGAAAAAGATGACTTGAGATTATATTCAATTGATAGCTTAAATACTATGTGCATGGCTAAGATCATTGGCAAACCTTATAATTCTATATCTAAACTTTCTAAATGGACTCTAACTATTATGGCCTCCATTTGAGCTTCCATTAATAGAAATGCTTCCCAACTTTAGAAAGCTTTGAATTATATTGCTATTAAAATTAAGAGTTGGTTGTCCAGTGGAAATTTCACACTTTCTTTATTATGAGACCCTTGGATTCACGGGAATTCATAGTGAATATGCTAGGACCAAGTTCTAATCTACCATGCAATCTTTGGGAAAGATAATCACATCATGGTTAAAGAGATAATTTTTATTAGCAATTAGCTGCTACTTCTTCCCCAGTGGAATTAAACTGCACTCTGGATATTCTCAAAACCCACGTTGTTACTCTCATATGCTTCATTCAATGGTTTGGGAGTGAAATTTTCTTTGCAAATCTTTGGGAAAGATAATCACATCATGGTTAAAGAGATAATTTTTATTAGCAATTAGCTGCTACTTCTTCCCCAGTGGAATTAAACTGCACTCTGGATATTCTCAAAACCCACGTTGTTACTCTCATATGCTTCATTCAATGTTTTGGGAATGAAATTTTCTTTGCAAAAAAAAAAAAAGCATACGAGCACATCCCCAATGTGAATTGGAACAAACTTATATGGTTCTAAGGATATGGCATTAAATTTTGCTTCCTTTGCTTGGAAACTATGCGTTAGAGGCTAAATATTAATGATGTGTTCACTAACAGTGGCATTTTGGTGGATATTAGATGTGTTTTTTGCTCGAATTATGGTGAATGACATGCACATTTATTTTTTGAGAGTCATGTTTCTATGGTCATTCTTCACACTAGCATCCCAAGATGCTCATTTTTTTTTTTTGTACTGCTCATTTTCTCAAGTTCTTCACCATGCTTACTTTATTACTAGCAGAATTACAAGAGTGATCTTCATTCTTGTCTTTCAAATCACTACTTACTATATAATATCCTCTTTCGAGCTGGTTGAACTCCTTTACAAAAAAATTCTAAAAAATTAGTTTTAGCATTAGGCAAAAAGCATAAAATAGAAACTCATATACAATTTGCCAAATGCGATCAAACTATTTCTTGTAAATGATTAAACTAACTAGCTTGCTTAAGCCATTTGACTTGTTGTTTTTCTATCCATTGATTATAATTTTTGGGACCTTTTTACTTGTTGTTGCCAAGGTTTAAAATTGTGTAATTAAGCCTCGAGGCGGTTTTCGTCCGTGAGGCGAAGCGTAAGCCTCACGGACACAGAATTGCGTAAATGAGAAATTAAGGGTTTTAGCAGGATAATAATAGCAATATTCTATCTTACAATAAAAACATCTAAATTATATATGAAAATAGTGAAAAGTAACAAAATAGATGCAATAAAATCATGTCCCAAAGTACAAAATCACAAAATATTAGCTTAACAAAACTCCCAAAGTATAAAGAACATATAAAACACAATCATATCCCATCACTAAATGGGTCTTCAAGGGAATCTTCTTCTCCAATTGTATCTATGAATGTCATATCATCATCATCTTCAATATGACTCACTTTTCTCTTCCCTGTTCAATAAGAGAAAAGATCATTATCATGCTAATTGCTCACTTGATATAAATATAATACGATAGCATATAAGAAGTTGTGGAATACCTTTACTTGATTGTTGTGCTGCAGAGCTAGCAGGATAATGTGCCCACTTGAACTGCTTCGCCCCTCAAGACATCCACACTTAGATCTTCTAACTGTAAGTCTGATAATGGCAAATCTGTCTCATCATCTATGAACCACTCATTATCAGATGACACATCATCACACACCAATGGGTCATCATCATCTTTCAACCCCTTATTCCTTAACCTCCTATCTCTTAACCTCTTATTGTGCATAATATATACGAGGGAGTTCATTCTGAGGGTTGATAGCCGATTTCTTCTCTTTGTTTGCACTTGCCTATATGTACTCCAGCTTCGCTCACACCCAGAAGAAGAACAAGTGAAGCCCAACACTCTTACAGCAAAACTCTATAATTGCATTTTAAATAGACATACGTCTTCTCGCTCCCTCCTACGTCAACTTGCACGCTATATTTTCAAGAAGGGTCACACCGCAATGACGTATTCGCCTTTTCTTTACCTCTAACCATGTCTCCTAAAGTAAAAATCCAAAAACACAAAAAAAAAATAAAAAAAAATAAATCCTAGATTTTCTTACACTTGAAAAATCTAACCCTAAACTAAAAAAAATACCTAAAATCTAATGTGGAGTACTCCTAGAGGGCGGCCAAAAGTTTCAACTTCGCCGGAGAGAGGCGACGCCGGCGGGAGAAGCGGCGGGAAGGGAAGCCGGCGGGTAAGGACCGTGCGGGAGCTCTCTGTTTCGTGAACTGGAGCCATGCGGGTAGGAAAAATTCGGGAGGAGCTGCTGCCGTGCGGGTTTAAGGAGAAAAAAACATTCATTTTAAGTGGGTGGGCCCATTCCCATGAGGCGTACGCCTCACTAAGAATTGTGCAATTGTGCCTCTAAGGCGCGCCTCAGTCCATATGAGGCGTACGCCTCTGCCAGGGGTGGAATTGCGTAAGCTTCAAGGCAGTTTTGGGACGAATTGTGCAGAGGCACGTCTCAAGGCGCGCCTCTTATTGCGCAATTTTAAACAGAGGTTGTTACTACATCATATCTTTTTTTTCTTTTTAGTCAAATGCTTATACAACATTTTCCTATTTTTTAAGGGAAATGACAATTAACTCTTCTCAACATGTTCGATACAATTCATTTTTCCTATAAATATAAATATTTCATTATGAAATAGATATTATGCTTCTCTTGTTAGTTTGATGTTATTATAGAACCAAGGATTGATTTTATCTTAATTATATTCTGAGCCCTATGAATGTCCTTATTGCTTCTTGGGTGGATATTTTACAGCAATTTTCATTTTTTGTATGAATATAATGACAATGCTTCTCAAGAGATTCAACAGAGCTCGCCTCACTTCATAGATACAGCACATAAATGTAAATATCATGATTTCTTCCTAATATGTTATTGTGACATAACCAATAATTGATTATTTCTTAATTTCTATTTTGAGCCACATTTTGATGCTTACACATCCTCCTCTCATTGAATTGTAACTTCTTCTAACACCATCCAAGGTTTTTGTCTTTTTATGGCATCACGCATATAACACTTTATTTTAATCAATGAAAGTTGAGTACGCCCAGAAAAATTATTCAAAAAACAATATAAAAGATACTTTAGATCACTATTTATATTATGTTATCCAAAAAGAAGCTTTTTTATAAACTACTTATGGAAAACGTTAAGAAAAAACTATACAATGTTTTTCATCTGAGCAACATTGCATGCTTTTTTATGTCTTATCCTGCCACAAAATCAGCAGAAACCTAATTTTGGTTCCTTGTGAAAACCTTCAAAGCCAACCTTGCCATAGGCGGGCCCCAATGAGGCTTCTTAAGGCATGATGTTTTTGCAGCTGATTTAGGATGATGCAAATGTCATCGCCGGTAGTTATGTGTCACTTTATTTTAATGTATTTTCTTTATTTGAGTTTAGATCTTATGTTTTATGATGCATGATTGTAATTTACTTGCTTCAACAACAACATCAAGCCTTTGTCCCACTACGTGGGGTCGGCTACATGAATCCTTTTTCGTCATTGTACTGTTAAAAGTCAAATTCTCATTTAAATCTAATAAAAAAAGATCATTTATAATATTTTCCAACCAAGTCTTTTTCTGATGCATGATTGTAATTTACTTGCTTCAATACTTTTAATTTAGACCCTTTGTAATTGTCGAGTCTTTAAGTCGTTTTTTATTTAGGGCCTATGTGCATTGGGTCAGTCCTCATGGATCATGTTGTGCTTTTATGTTATTAGGATTGGTGGTAAATATTTATAAATATGTATTGCATCAACATATTTATAAATATTCCCTTGGGGGCAAATTTTCTTATTTTAATTCACCCAATTCTCTCATAGAGTATCCCCCTCAACATTCCTTATAGAAAATTCGTTGAATTGGTTTTAACTTCTACTCACTTTCAAATTCATACACTGACTTGAACATTAGAGGATCTTCCTAGAGACAAAAGCCATGAGTTGGTTGGCTGCACTTGTGTCTCAGTTCCGTATACCCAAATACTACTAACATTGAAGATCTTCTCTGACATGCAACAAAGCAAATTCCCAAATAACAACCTCACATTTCCAACAAGCACTTCTCAAAATGTTTACCTTCAGCACACTGCAGTGTATAGCAGCAGCAGCAACAACAACAACAAGCCTTTATCCCACCACGTGGGGTCGGTGCATGAATCTTTTTTCTCTTTTTCCCCATTGTGTCCCGAGTCAAATTCTCATTTAAATCTGACACTGCAGTGTATAGCAAGCGTAAAAAAACAAATTTTTTTTTTTAGGGACGCTGTTTAATCCCCGCGGTTGGTAATCATGCAAGCTACTGACCAATTCACCACAAAAAAAAAATGTAAAAAAAGGGTAAACATACATAAAAATCCAAAAAGACATGAAGCAAGGGAATCGCAGCAAACTCATTACTTGGCAGCATGGGTGCGTTTCAGACGGTAGTACCCGGCGTGATGCCCTAGCTGCTCTACAGGAACCGTCGCCCCGGCATCTCCGAGTATATCCAGGTTCAATTTCCGCTCCACGAGGCGGCGTTGCGAAGGATCATCGTCGAAGTCCTCTTCTCCACTGATTTCCTGGTTCTGCGGAACGAGGTTGAGATTTCTGATGAGTCTCTCCGCCGTCCGGTAAGGGCTGAGCTCGTAAGAGCCGAAATAACTGAAGTTAGAGGATGCATTCGAGGAACCGGTGAGGAGGAGGGCAAGGCAAAGGACTGAGCGGAGCGGAACCGAGCTTCTCACCCTCATTGCGATTACGGAGAAGAATACAAAATGGTAAGTAGTTGACGCAATGAACCTTTGACAACGGACTGCAGGAATATAAGGAACAAAATATGCCCTTAACAAAATCCTTTAATTGATGACGTGAGAACATTTTTTAAATAAAATTTAAATATTTAATGAGGAAGTTTGATATATTCGATGAACGTTTCAATAATTAATATATTAATATTATGATTAAAATGCTTACCAGTTTTAATATATATAAGATAAATTATTTGAGTGAAATCATTTGTGGTAGAGTAATTAAAAAAAGTATTTATATAAAATAAAATATTTAAATCACACATGTTAAGATTCACAAGATATTATTTCGATAAAATAAATATGCATTAATAATATGATTAAATTTTCAATATTTATATGATTTATATAAAATAATAAAATTTCCATATATATTAATATGATTAGGAGTGCAAACAGGTCGAGTCAAGTTCGAGTCGGGACTAACTCGAGCTCAACTTGTGAGCCAAAATCCGAGCTTGAACTCGAGCTCGCGAGACTACCGTGTTGTCCATGACTCTGCCAATTTGCCTTTTGAGGTCGCATGCGCAGACGAGCAACACTTTTCACTGTTCGCACCCGCAAACGTGTGCCTTCTACGCTTAGTTTGGGCTCATCTGTGGTTTGCTCGCACTTATCGCCAATCAAGCCGCTCGAGAGTAATTGAGCCGAGCATCACCCGAGCTGAAACTCGAGCTCGATAATCCAACGACCTCGAAATTCTACACGAGCCCAAGCTTGATAAGCCCGGCTCACAAGCTAGCTCAGCTCACTTGCACATCTAAATATGATGCATTGAGATAAAAATAAAATTTTATTTGTAAAATATTTAGAAATCGTAGCAGTACTTAATTATATATATATATATTAGTAATATTTGTCATCGTCTAATATATATTAATTATGAATTTAGTGTTAGTCATCAATTAAAAAAAATAACAAAATCACAAATTCAAGAAATCTCGCAAAAGCAAGAGAGAAGGTTTTAAAAGAACGAAATAAAAAACAGAGGAAACCAATTAAAATGATAATAAGAACAAAAAAAACGTCGACAAATGAGAAAAAAAAAAACAAACAAATAAAACGACAACTCTGAATGGACCTCAAAATCACAAGTTAAAAAAATTAGTCCATAGTAAGACAAAGGATATTCAGGTGAAGAAACCCGCAACGAAGTTGATCTTGAGAGGCTCACAGCATACCCAAATTGCACCCAAGCAAGACACGAGAACTGAACATCTAGCAATCATCGTTATCCAACAAAGCAGTGTTAGTTCGGCATGAAATCTGATTATATTGATCAAACGGGTTATAATGTTGACTCAGACCTCAATTTTGTCGGTCCAACTTTCCGGGGGTTGCAGGGGGGCCTCACCTGCTCGATGTTCAGGGGACGTGGCTTTGATATTTTTTAAGTATAGTCGTACGACATCATGGTGCTATACATTAGAGTGTTGCAGTAATTGCATACTGCAACGTTGTAGCATGCAACGCGGTGGTGCTCTAGTTATGACTTGGAGACATAGAGCAGAGCATTGCAGCAATCCAGAGCCAGTGATGTGGCGCTATGAGTTAGGCTAGAGAGAGAGTGGAGCATCATAGCACTCCAAACCCTGATTTCACGATGCTAGGAGTCGGCCTGAGTAATTTTATTTCATGTTTTTCATGTTTAGCTTAAAGGATCGTGTCTCTTGGTTTTGTTAAAATATCTCTTTGTTAGTTCTGTGTATAACAGTGTGAAGAAGTGAAGTGAGACAATGAGAGAGTGAGAGAGAGAGAGAGAGAGAGAGAGAGAGAGAGAGAGAGAGATTTGTACAATCTCTCTTAAATTTCATACTAAATTTCTTTGTATGGTTTGGCTTCGTGATTTTTTTTTCCGATTTTATATTTTTTCACATTAAATCGTGTGTTCATTTCTGTTGTTTTATTTTGTTACTGATTCATTATTATTATACAACCTTATAATTGTTGTACTTATTTATTATTATCATATGAATTTATTATAATTGCATTTCTTTATTGTTATTGTCATTGATTTTACTAACAACACTATAATGATACTAGAATGTGATATACTGAGCATATAATTAAGATACTGATTTGATATTGATACAGAATAACTGGATAGCATCTATATATCATTATAGAGTTTTACAGTATTGATATGATTCTTGCAGTCTTTTCCAATGATTTGGTTTTACTGTTTTATATGATTTCTTTATTGATAGATAGTATCAATATGAAAACTACTTTATTGATTTAACATCCATATTGATTTATTGATTTTTACATCATACTACTTTATTGGCTTTCGTACTGTAGTATTTTACTGGCTACAGACATTATTGTCACTACATGTGTGTTTTACTATTTATGTATCGATAAATGATCATATGACTGCTATTCCTATGATTTGACTGCTGACATATATATTGCTCATTTGTCGTGTTTTGAGGTCAGTTGTAATATATGATTACTTGTTGGGCTCTTGAGCTCATTATTAAGGTTAAATGATTTCAGGCCATGACAAGATAATAGGAGTGCAAGATTGATTAGTATCATTCATGTTCATATTCTTGTTATTTTAGTTATTCTTTTGTACTCCGAATATAATAGTTGTGATATAATTATAGAGATCTTTAGTAGTGTACATGATTTTTGAGAAAATGAAACAAATGTATATATTGATATTTTGATAGATAGTTTATTTTCGTTGGTATTTATATTAAAAAAATTAGGTAGCTCTGATTATTATATATTAAAAGATAAAAGAATAATTCTTCTAAATTATATTATGGGGTGTCACACCTTTGTTATAAGCATGGCCATCCAGTTCATGCGAAATCCAAAGAAAACTCACTTGCAAGTAGTAGACTGAATACTGCACTACCTTAAGGAAAATCATGAAAAGGGGATTCTCTTCAAAAGAGAATGTGGAATAACCCCAGAAGCTTATACTGATACAGATTAAGTAGGATCACTAATATATAAACAACCTACCTCAGGATACTACACATTCCTTAGAGGAAACCTAACTACATGGAGGAGCAAGAAATAGAATGTGATTGCAAGGTCTAGTGAGGGCAAAGTTTAGAGCTATGACCTTAGGTATATGTGAGCTCTTATGGATCAAAATGATTCTAGAAGATCTAAGGATCAAGTGGGAAGGACCCATGAAGCTACATTGTGACAATAAATTATCAATCAGCATAGCTCATAATCTAGTTAAGCATGATATGACCAAGCACATAAAAGTGGACAAACATTTCATAAAGGAGAAATTGGACAATGGGCTTATATATTTACCACGTCTAATTGAAAGATCAGCTTGCATACATTTTTATCAAGGAACTTGATAAATCTACCTTTCTGGAATGGATAATCGAGCTAGGAATGACATATTTGTATTTTTTGGCTTGAGGGGGAGTGTCAAATACCATTCCAACTATCCTAGCCATCCCTTCCCTCTTGATCCCATGGCCAGCATGGGTATCCTGAGAGTCTCACCTGGATCACATCAATATCCTTTCATATTTGGGTGGTTGATTTAGGATAGATTAGATTAGTGCAATTATGCACGCTAATCTCCTCCCATATTTTGGTGGCTGACTTAAGAAGGATTAGATTAGTTCAAATATGTATTATTCTATAATTATTTATTTTCCTATTAAGATATATTGTATAGATCTATAAATATAGATAGTTTTTGTACAGTAAAAAAAAGTCATTTTCTCTCTCCAATTCTCTGAATTGAATAGTGGTGATATTACTATTTGGCATCACAAGTTCAGACAACTTTGAAAATTATGATTCTTTGTATTTGTAATTGCCTTAGGATTGGCATTTTGATGCGCTAGTCAGCTCAAAAGTTGTATCTATTTCGCTTACAAAATATGGTGTAACCATTTCTCCTTCGACTTGCCTTAAGCATGAGTATTTCACAGAACAATTATTTACTTCGCTCAACAACAAAGCACAAAACAACATAAAAGAAAATCTCACAGCACAAGACAAAAGTCATATTGTTTTGAGAATCCAATGCTTTATTTCCAACCAATTTATTCACATTTGACAACTTAACAAGTAGAATGTGCATGCCTTGGTGATATCTTATTGTTCATCAATATAAAATTTACATCTGATATTAACACAAATATGTTACAATGACTCTGATTCTGGGATGACAAATAATACAACAACTTAAATGTATAAAAGCGTACCTTCTTCAATGCGAGTGAATGCAGGAGCTCCATAGTATGGTCAAAGAACAACTTAAGATTTTGTATGGGACGGTTTTTTTAATGCTTCTTAAAGTAACTTTTTAATGCAAAAGTTTTAATTTTTGTACTGAAAAGTTGCTTTAAGAAGAAATAAAAAAATCGTCCCAAACGAAACCTAAATCCCTGCAGGCCGCCCATCTTTTCTTGGATCACTGACAGCAGTAAGCTTTCCATAGAAGATTCCATCTTTCATTTTATCCACATTTGGAACCGGATTTTGAAGATTATGAACAACAAACTGGGTAACGGAACCGCCAGAGATGCTGGAAAGATGGTGGCCTCTTTGCTTCAAGTATGCCTGTGCTTCCGGAGAGACTTGAATTTGCTCATCATCAATGGCCGTCCAGTTCTCGAACAGCACAACGTTTGGGATGAGCTGTATGTTTAGATGAATTCAGGGCCTATTTATACTTCGAAGATAATCTACATTCAGTTACCTAAATATATTTAGGCTTCATTTTGGGACGGCTTTTTTTCTGCTTCCTAAAACAGCTTCCTAGTACAAAAATTAAAATTTTTATACTAAAAAGCTGCTTTAGGAAGCAATAAAAAAGTCATCCCAAATGAAGTCTTAAGCTGGTATACAGACCTTATGGTATACTCTTGGTCGTCGAACAGCTTCCAGAGGATCAAAACCAAGCACAAAATGGTTGAGGAACACTTGAACAACTGCAGGAATAATATACATTCCTCCACTTGCACCAACCACTCCTGCGAGCTGCTTGTCCTGCATATTTGTAGGGAAAATAAAACTATATTAGCCTTCAAATAATTAAAATAGTGTTTCGTGAAAAGATATGCTAATCAACAGCCTTATCATATTTTAGCTCGTTTTATATATGAAATGTGACATTGGCTTGAAAATTTGTTGATTTAGGTTTCGTTTGGGACGACTTTTTTATTGCTTGAAAATTATAATTTTTGTAGTACAAAGCTGATTTAAGAAGCAGAAAGAAAGTCATCCCAAACGAAGCCGTAATGTGTGTGGTGATCAATGTCTAATACAATTGTTTATATTATCAAGGATGAATATTTATTGGATATTTTATACGAATCTATTTGATTAGAGGTAAACTGCATGTAGATAAATGAAACACCTGAAAAATGAGGTTAATTACACATGATTTGCAGAAATTTTGAGGAGAGAATTAATAGAATTGATTGATGTTAAATATATGCAACACTTTTAGGGCTGACTTGGTTGGGGTTCAAGTTAACTAAGCCAAATAAACTAAACCAAGCTAACTTTTTAAGAGGGATTAAGACATTTGTCAGGTAAAGATTAGTTGTTGTAAGCTCAGATAAGCGGAGGGAACTATTTGCTGTATTTTGACTTAATGTCATTTGTTTACTCTTTCATGATGTTAGAATTTATAATTAAAAAGAATGATTCTTAACAATTATTATTTAACCGTTAAGTAACTAATATTACCTTAAGCTCCATTAAATATAGTATAATTATCTTAACATTAAAGCATATCACATATATGCTGTGAGAGGAACTTGAAGCTTAAAGAAATGCAGGGATGAATACTGCTTGTACCTTAAGGATAATGAGAGGGGTCATGGAAGACAGAGGTTTCTTTCTTGGCTGGATGAAGTTAGCAGGAGCTGGTGGGAGATGATCTGGGGAAACATCAGTGGGTATGGAGAAATCATCCATTTCATTATTGACAACAATACCAGTTGATGGTGAAAGTACTTTTGCCCCGAAGTAGGCATTAACTGTGCTTGTCATGGAAACTGCATTTCGCTCAGCATCAACAACACAGAAATGGCTTGTTCCATGGTCTCTTAGCTGACTCCATCTGCGAAGCAGGTTATTCTGATGAGATCCCTTCAGCATATTATATGGCATGACAGAAAAGAGTGTGACAGAACTCACTTTGGAAGATAGTAACTTGGATCAAAAGTAGTGTTATCAAGTATTTTCTGCCTGATTTTTTCTGCAAATGAAGGAGAAAGCATGGCGGAAACATGGTCAGTGACATTGACAAAATCAGGATCCCCAAGGTTCATACGGATGGCAAACATGTGTTTGAATGCTTCTACGAGGCGGTGGAGACCAAGCAGACCTCTTACTTCATCCAAAGACTTGTAGCCACCTAAAATGTTTAGGACCTAATTAACACACAGTAAGCCTCTTATTCAACTTTGTGAGCACAACAAGGATTATAGGAAACACAAACAGGTTATAACAGAAAAACTCACCAGTGACAATCCAACAGTTCCACTTGATGGAGGAGGCATGCCAAGGACTCGGTAACCCATAACATCTGCGGCCACAGCCTCCTTGACTTCAACTGTATAACTCCTAAGATCCTCCATGGCTGCAATCCCTCCAGCATTCCTCAAGTCATCGATGAACTTCTCTCCAATGGTGCCATTGTAGAATGCTTGTGGACCCTCGATGGAAACTATCTCCAAAGTGTCAGCGAGTTTGGGGTTCAAATAGGGGTCATTTATCTGCAATAGTTTGCCATTGGGAGCAAATACTTGTCGCAGCCCCGGGTCGGCCAAGATGTCTTTCTCGGACTTTTTGATGATCTGGGCAAGATAAAGAGGCAGAGGGAAGCCATACCTTGCGAGTTTTATGGTTGGTTGAAAGAGAAGCTTCCATGGGAGCTTTCCATACTTCAACCAAGCTGCATGGAGGCCGGCAAGCTCTCCTGGAATCCCCATCGAGAGTGCACCTTTGCTCTTTGATGAAGGAATCTTCTCATACATGTTCTGTTTCAATAGAAAATGGATCTGTAAAGCTGAATAAGACAACATCCTGTGTTAAATTTTCATCATTCACGTCCTGCCAACAGTGCTGGCATGAAGCATTTTTTTGTTGCAAATTAGAGCCCGTGAAATTGACTGGCCAAAATAAATGTAAGAATAATCCAAATGCTCATCAACTCATCCAAAGCTCCGCATTGATCAACTGGTTTTTTAAATATCTTAATTTTGGAAAAAATGAAATAAAAATTATATTTTTGGCTTTAAAAAAGGGCAATTCGTTAAACTTTGAAAATCTTTATTAAAAAAAAGTTTCATATTTGAATCAACTCATAAGTAAAATCGATGAAGTTAAGGAGAATTATCTTTAAATATATGTATTTGTGTAAGTCAATAGAGCAAATCATCATGCATGCCTAAACTTGTTTAACAATTTGCCATATGAGGATTAATTTGGTGCTTATCCAAACCTAATTTGCCGAGGATTGGATCTCGCATATTTGCCCAAGCTACCAGTTAAATAACTCGATTGTTCGACTAATATCATCGCCCGTCAACAAAGAATTCTCAAGAAATTATATATTTGTTGTTTAGCATTTTTTATTGATTTTAGAACGGAAATCAATTGTCATAAAAAATTACATCTAAGGGAGACTTTCCGTATTGTAAAATATTATAATATTTCTCATAAACTTGGTATGATAATATATTATAATATTATGAAACTAGTACTTCTTCTTAAATTTTTTTAATATTATATTCTTTTTCCTAATTTAAAATTATATATCATTCGCCTATTTATAATATTTTGATATTTTTATAACTACTAACTTTGAACAAGTACTTTAAACTTTTTTGTTATTCATTAATGAGGAGCTTTTTTTTTATAGCCGTAACTATTTATAATAAATAATAAGAATAGTATGAATGATGATTTAATTATTGTGATGATTATCTAGCCTAATATATCTCTGTTCTCCCAGTGAGCAAATCGACGAGAGAGAGAGAGAGGATCAAAGATGTTGATATGCATGAAGATTTACCATAGATGCCGCAATCGGAGCTGTTTCACGAGAATCAAAGGAATCCGCCGTCGAAGACCCAGCCGGCCAAACAACCATGAATCCCCCGCCGCCAATTCCACTAGACATCGGATGCACAAATCCAAGGCACAGCGCCGTCGCAACCGCAGCATCCACCGCATGCCCACCGGCTTTTAGAGCCTCTACCCCAATCTTCGAGCACTGCCAGTCGTCCGCCGCCACGACACCGATCTCAGATTCCACAATCTCCGATCCGCTGCTGCTTTGCAGCTTTATTCCCCGATCTCCGTGGCCCGAATCAAAGACGTTGATCAGGGTTTGCCCTAAACCTGGCAAAGCAAAGGAGGAATTGAGTAAGGGAGAGAGTAATTGATTAAGAGGAGGAAGAGGTTAATTGCCTACAGAGTAGAGTTGCAGCGACGAAGAAGATCAAGACTCGCCGCCAGAATTTTGGGATTGGCGGCGGCGGCTCCGGCGGAGCAGGATAGCGGAGGAGAGGGGATTCTATGTCGGAATGGGCCGGCATCTTCGGAGCTGTGAGGGAAGGACAGAGAATGAGAGTGATTGGAGGATATTTTGAGCAAAGCTCGGGGCTGGAATCTTTCGCGGATGCGTATCTATTGACAGACCGGTTTGTGCTTTACGCGAATAATAAAAGAAAAAAAAAATTGCGTAAGCTGCTTAAGATGGATTCCAAATATTTAGATTTATTTTATGATTATTGCTATTTTTTTTTTCTTAAAATATTATTAATATGTGTCAATCCAACCTTCTCTTTTTTTTTTTTTGAACGAGATATCTAACCGCGGTCATTTTAGAGGAAGCATTTTTCGGCGTAATTAATTTATCGACGGAATCTAGTAAGGCCACTTATCGGTATCGACGCACACTTGTTTTGTCCCATTGAAGAGACCAGGCCGTAGTAGAGGGAATACGAACCCAGAATGACGGGTTCTCAATCGTGCTCTCACACCAACGACCCTAAGACTAGAGACAAATTATTACATGCAGAGTTCGTACGTCGTCTAGAGACCAATAAAAAGTATCACATCACCTCAAAAGTATATCACACTCGATATCGAATATGATACTGAGTATCAGTACCGCTCGATATGCTCGGTACCAAACAGTATCGGAGGAATCTCTCAAGACAAGGTGGGTATCTTTATTAATTTAGTAGCCAAATTTGGAGAAAATAAAATCAAAGAGAAGAATAGCGTGGGGGAAGTTATGATGCGTAACGCAATCGATGAAGACAAAAGTTAAATGGCCAACTGCTTTAGGGGGGGATGCGTGTATCTGGACGCAAAGCTGTATCAATGCAGAACATAAATATCTATTAATTAATATTATGTTATCATGTGTAATTTACTAATTTAATTAATTTTTTTTATTTTATGATATTATATAATTATAAATTTATGCCTGAGTAAATATGTATCAATTTCTAAACTTTATAATTTTAATGAGATTTGAGATATGATGGTATTAATTTTTTTTTAATGATCAGTAGCTCTTTAATTATATATATTGAGTTTTTAGACCAATAAAATATATCATATGATTTCATATATTCTTTCATTGATCAATAGATTGAGTTTGTTCACTGACAATATATATATATATACTATTTAATTTAAATGTTTATTAATAAAGCTCGTTCATTAAAAGAATCATTTACACATCACCAAAAATTGATTTGATCCAGCACGAATCTCGAGGCATATACAAGTAAAAAACTTTCAAAATTAAAATTGAGACGGTATGAACTCCAATTTCAGCAAGCTATAGTCAAACGGAATGTCTCGAAGTGTGAACCCAACGACACCCAAATCGATTCAATTTGAGCACAATTGAGTCCAAATTGAAGGTCTGAAGCTTATTTAGAAGGTTCATAGCCTATTGGATTACCAAATGATATTCCAATATAACATGCTTATAATCGAATCTAGCGGCTAGACGAGACAAATCCAACGAACCTAAGATCGCTTAATTCTGACATCATTTATGCTCATAAATGCTTGGTAAATCTCTATGATCAAGGGGATCATATTGGGCCTTCTGATGTAGCACTCCAAATTTGTTGTAGATCTTCTTCATATTTATAGGGCTTGCCACTATAAAAAATCTATAAATAGGCCTCCCACTCTCTATATGATGGGGGACCTTTTGTTTGGAGATTGAAGAGAGTTTTGAGGCTTCAAGAGCTTCAACATCACCTCTAGCATACTTTCGCCAGCCATTGTTGGACCATTACATTGCCTCCGATCGACGTCGAACTTCCACCCGGGCTTCGCCTGCTACTGGACTTGCACTCGGTCGCTGACCACCACCAGGCTTCCACCCTACCATCAACAGAACACTGCCCCTCCACCGATTGATGCTGGACTACCACCAGGTCGTCAACTGCCGCTGGACATTTACCCGACCATCGCCGGACCACCTCCTGGCCGTCGACCGATGCCAGACTACCTCATGTCCTCTAATCGCCGTCGGACTTCCACCCGTTGACCGCCACCATACTTCTTCCTAAAACTTCGGACCACCACCCAGCCGTCGACCGTTGCCAAACTATCACTCAGCCATGAACCATAACCAGATTTTCACCCAACCATCATCAAATCACCGCTCGGCCGCCAACTGCCAACTGCCAACTACAATCCATCGGATGCCCATCATCCACCGACTTCGATCCTTCTAACCACTATCTCCCTCAAACTACAGTCCCTCCAACCACCATCGCTTGTAGACTACGGTCCCTGCGACCTCCATCATCCGCTACTATGGTTCTTTCGACCACCATCACGGGCTAACTTCGGTCCCTTCGACATCCGTCGCCCGCTAAAACTAAGGTCCCTTCAACCTCTATCGCCCGCAAACTACGGTCACCTGATCACTATCTCCTGCCGACCTCTATCGCCCGCCGACTACAGTCCATCTAATCTCTATTGCCCAAATACAACCTTACTAGTCAAATGAACAGGCCAACGTTCTCTTAGAATGGCAACCTTATCATTGAATTCTTCCAACCCCAACAATGCAATGTGCACTATATGATACATTGAGCCAATTCATTCCCCTGCATAAGGGAACCATTTATAATCAACTACAAATACTAGTGAAATCATTTTAAATGGGCCAAGCCCTATTATTTTTTATCTTTTGAGGGTTTTTCACTTAAAAATCTTGATGTCTCTTATGACGATTGTACACTTCTCTCTTTATTTATATGTGTGATGGATCTTCATTCAAATCTAAGACATTCATCTCTTTATCTCCCTACTACCGTGAATATTCCAATCCGCAACAGTGAAAATCATAAACTACTCATTTATGAGATAGAGAATGCTTAATAAGCTTGCTCATTTATGAGCTTGAGAAAGCTTATAATTGTTTTTTAGTAATCTTCATAAGACTCATTTATTAAGCTAATGAGCATCCCAATAAAGTTCTTTCGTTAATAATTTGATAAGACATGTTGGTTAATAGCTCTATAAGGCTCATTAATTAATTTAAAAGAGCCGATCGTTTAAAGCTCTATAAGCACGAAATGAATCAAATATGAATTGAACATGAATCAAACTTGAACATCTGTCAATTTAAATGAACCAAACTTGAAGGAAAATGAAAAAGCTTGAATCGAGCTCGAACCGAACTTAAACAAACTATTAATAAACAAACCCAAATACGAACAAACTTCTACTTGACTCGGCTCGATTCGATTGAAGCCCTACCTACCAATAACTGGCTGTTAAAAGATCTTTTAAATTAGCACCAGCTGATGAATAGGGAAAGTTCTGTGCACCAATGCTGCTCTAATTTTAGTAGTTCACTTCACCATCTTTGCTTGTGTTTCAAAATAACTGAACATCATTAACGTACCATCACCACCATATTTAATTCGATAATAAATCAGCAACAACAAATACAGAAATAACAATATGACCAAGCCAAAATAAATAATTATGGGGATAAAGATATCTTCCCAAATTTATTTTATATAATTAGATTTAAATTAAAATGAGTGTTAAATATGACTTATTAACAAAAAATTATATTACACTCATTTTAAATACATTTAATTAATCTAAAACTCATCATAACCAGAATTTGAGCCGATCAAAATTTCATCTAATGAGGCCCTACTGAGTGCATTAAATGAGCAGAAAAATCACTTCTCTCTTCATTTGAGACGGCTTTCTTATTGCTTCTAAAAACAAATTTTTAATGCAAAAATTCAAAAAATTTGCACTAAAAAGCTGCTTTTAGAAGCAGTAAGAAAGCCATCCCAAACGAAACCTAAACAAGCTATGAGAAGCATTAAAAAAAAGTAATAATTGAACATAGCCTTCCAATACAACAATCATCAAAACATAACTCATCTTGATCAGTTGGTTGGTCTTGAGTTCGAAGTTTGCATATATAACGTGTTTATGAATTTATCTGAATTGACCAAAATGACCGTCCCTCTCGAAGAAAGAAAAAATAAAAAACAAAAATAACTCAATAAACAGAAATATGTGCAAACAAAAAACACATGCTATTGTAATTGATAAATAAGAAGTAAACATACCATTCATAGTATTAAAAATAGCAAGAACCACAATCTTTATTCAACTAAAATAGGTAGACTCAAAATCTTTATTACCAAAAAAAAAACTATATTTATTTGGGGGATTTCCATACATTATCATGAAGATCTAATGAATTTATATATCTAAAATTTAAATTTTCATATTTATTAATACAACATTTTGATGTAACAATCACATCAAAAAAATTTATGCATGAAAAAATCTCTCATTTTAAAAATATTAATTTTAATGATATCTTTGATGAGATTTAAAAATTTTAATGTTATAAAACTAAATATAAAACTTAAATATTAGATATAAAAATTCATCAGAGTAGAGTTCCACAGTATGAAAATCCCCCAAATTTAGTTTCAGTAGCTCATCAATCTTTAAACCTACTTGTTGGGCACATTTAGTCTCTGCCTGAAGTCTTCTTCCATAAGGGGCAAACCATCTCTTAGAACGACCTTAGGTTCCCAACCAAGTAAATTCTTGGCTTTTGTGATGTCAGGTTTCCTTTGTCTTGGATCATCAGGAGTGTTCTCCACTATCCTCAAAGGAACATCTGGGTTGATCAACTGCAATCAAACAGATTAAAATTAGTCAAGATCTCAGATGTGTTGCTGGTACTAGAGAGTTTGATATAAAAGCTATTGAACAAGAAAATATTAAAAAAAAAAAAAAAAAAAAAAATAACTCAATAAACAGAAATATGTGCAAACAATAAATGCAAACAGAAAACGCATGTAATTGATAAATAAGAAGTAAACTTACCATTCATAGTATTAAAAATAGCAAGAACCACAATCTTTATTCAACTAAAATAGGTAGACTCAAAATCTTTATTACAAAAAAAAAAAAACTATATTTATTTGGGGGATTTCCATACATTATCATGAAGATCTAATGAATTTATATATCTAAAATTTAAATTTTCATATTTATTAATACAACATTTTGATGTAACAATCACATCAAAAAAATTTATGCATGAAAAAATCTCTCATTTTAAAAATATTAATTTTAATGATATCTTTGATGAGATTTAAAAATTTTAATGTTATAAAACTA